AAAAAAAAAAAAAAACACATAATAGTAAAACCAATACCTTCTCAGCTTCGCATCGAAGCTAAAATAAGTTAAATACTATTTAACACTCATTACATAAGTGTATTTGTAATATAATATACATAATGTATGTTACTCAGATTTACATTAGAATGATTTAATATGTGTTATAGTAATAAGAAGTGATGGAACTCCATTTAGTGGAGGAATTTTAGCTGATGAAATGGGTTTAGGAAAAACGGTTGAAATGTTGTCATGTATAATGTCAAATACTGCGCCATCTGAGGTAAAATATTAAAAATTTCTCTCAAATTTTGGATGATTTTAACCTGATACGCTGATTTAAGCATAAGAAAAAAATTACAATATAATTTAACATTTTAGTTCTATAATCAAAAAATCATTATTAAAGAAACCCCAAGTACTATGAACAATTCAATAAAATCTGTTTTGCCAACTCCATCATCAAGCAAATACATATTATACTCTAAAAAATTAATAGATGAAAATCATTCAAAATCTGTCTCTCGCAATTTATTAGAAAATTGGTACAATAGTGTACTGAGTGAAATGACATGTGTACCAAAAATAGTGAAAGCCAATGATGAAGGCACTCAACTTCTTGAGTGTTATTGTGCTGATACAGTTATAAATGATACAGTAGTATATTGTTTAATGTGTGGAAAAGGACAACATCCAAAATGTGTTAATTTTGCTCCCAAAATATTCAAAGAAGTACCATATTTATGTGCAAATTGCTGGACAATTAACGATAAATTACCATGTAAAGCAACATTAATAGTAGTACCACAATCTATATTGAATCAATGGATTGAAGAGGTAATCTTTTATTTAATATAGAACTAAATTTTTACTTTAAATAGTTCATTTTTATACAATTTCAGTTATCATTAACATATTTTAAAATTTCATTTCTAGTTTTACAAGTACCTTTATATCTACTTAAAAAGTTTATTCTTATTATTTACAAAAAAAAAGGATTTTCATCAATTTTTAATGAATTAATAATTTTTAATATTAAATTATATCTATCTATTTTGGTTTTTTATGTTTAATAGAACATTTACATTAATTGATTCATATTGATAATAAATTTGATGAAAAAAATCAAACCAAACTTTTTCCTTGTAAATTAGTTTGAAAATTTAACGAGTATAATCAGATATCACACTAAATTTGTTGAATAAAGATAAAAGTTTTTCCTATAAGTAATTGAAATAATTGTTCAGTTCAAGTTCAATGAAGTATTATTTAGATCATTTAGTTCAAATTCGTTTGAAAAATTGAAAATTCGATTTGATTTGAATTTGATTTTAAAAATTTGGTTTGATCCCAAAAATCAGGGTTTGTAACATCATTAAAAATTACAAAATTTTAACACAAGTCTTTTTATTACAGATAGACAAACATATAGCCAACCCAGGTTTAAAAATTTTAGTTTATAATGGTGTCCATTTTGATGGTTATATACAACCTATTTCTTTTAATGATTATGATGTTGTTATAACTTCCTACAATAATTTGAAAAGAGATTTAAACTATACTGGAAACATAGTATGTATATCATTTATATTTTCAATTTAATTTTGTGGAATAAATTTAATTTCTGTAGGATATTGAAAATCGATCAACTCGCCTAAGATACTCTAAACGATATTACTACCCCCAGTCTCCATTACCATGCATACTATGGTGGCGTATTTGTTTAGATGAAGGCCAAGCAGTTGAGTATACTAGCACCAAAGTATCTGAAATGGTATCTTGTTTAAAATCTGTTCACAAATGGGCAATGACTGGTACTCCAATTCAAAAATCATTAAATGGTAGTAACTTTAATTTCTAATTGTTTATCAATTTATGATTCATTTTTTCTTTTACATGTTTAATATTATTCTACAGATCTCTATGGCATATTAAAGTTTCTAGATGTTAGTCCTTACTGTAATCGCAAACACTTTTCACAATTAATGAAAGGGGATACTGAAAAAATGTATAGTTGGTTTTCTAATCTTATCTGGAGGAATAACATGCATGATGTAAACACTGAGTTAGGTATACCACCTCAATCAGTTGAATACCATTGGTTAACTTTTTCTCAAATAGAAAAACATTTTTATCAAAAGCAGCATGATGATTGTGCTACATTATTTCAGAATATTGTTACAAGGTTTGTGCTTTTAGGTAGTTAAATTGATATTTAAAATATATATAATATTCAATGAAAATTTTTTTTCCATAGACTATTTCCAACACTAGATATATCTTTAAAAAGTATTGATAAACGGGATTTATATAAAATAATGGGCCCTTTGTTGAAGTTACGTCAAGCATGTGTTCATCCACAAGTAATTTATTTTTATTTTTGTACTCCATATATTATATACTTATATATTTAAATAATAAATTTTGTATTTTTAGGCTGTACGTGGACAATTTTTAAAAGTAAAAGGAACTATGACAATGGAAAAATTAATGGATGTTATGATAGAAAAGTGTCGTGTTGAATGTAATGATATTTTAAGATCTCTAGTTTCTCAACATAATGCAATTGCAGGATTATATCTTATTCGGTCTGAGCCAACAAATGCTATTGAACACTATAGAACTGTGTTGAATTTAATGGATAAATATAAAGATAAAAAACTTCATGTTGATACCTGCCAGGTTCAAAATATTTTCTTATAAAGTACTTTTCATTGAAAATGCATCATCAACTAAATAAATTAAATATTTTTTTCATTATTGTCCAAAATTTAATTATTTTCTTTTTATTATTTTAATAAAAAATTTTGTTGTAATATTTGCAGTATGACTGATTTAATTTCAAAATTTATTTTAGAAAATTCATGTCTTGTATAACTTATCGATGGTGCTTGATGAACACACAGTGGTATCTCATGCGTTATATGACTCTGATTTAAAAGAAAATATGGAAAAATTGGAAAAAGACTATCTTGAAACAAGTAAACAAAATGTAAGGCATTTATTAATATTTATATTTATATATGTATTATCACCAATAAAGTTATTTGATTGTCTTTTACAGTGAAATAGCCAATGAATTTATATTATTTAAATTTAAGATTATAAAAATTTTATTTTAATATTTAATTAACAGTCTATACAAAGTTTAACCACCAAGAATAGTTCCAGTCATTTTAATATATTTTTTAAAACATTTTTTGTGTATGATTTTGAAATATTTAAAAAAATTATGTATTCATCTTTTAATTTTGAAATTTTCTTCTAAGATCGATACTACAAGAAAAACTGTGAATTTTTATTCAGTCAAAGTGTCAGAGTTAATGGGAAATAAGACATTAGGCTATTCAGATTGGTGGTCTGATTTATTAGATTGGATTTTTTCAGTTGATGACTTTTTAAATAAAGTACAAATAGATTTAGATGACTATAGAGTGCCTGGTGTTCCTAATATTGCTAATAAGTAAATATATTATTTAACAAGATCATTATTTTAATATCAAATTAAGTTATTTTAAATAAATAAAAAATACATATTAAATAAAAATTAACTTTTTGAATTGGTTTGTAGACTTAAATCGATGAATGATATCTACAACATTTTAAGTGTTTGGCTTGCAGATTTAGACAGTGCTAGAATAGATACACACTCTATTTTAAAAGTTCTTGAAGAAATTCCAATGTGTGATTTAGTTCAATCAGCTTTATCTTGTCATTTACGTATAAAGTCAAGAAGAAGTATTAAAAATAGGTAATTAATACAAATTATTTATAAGAAAATATTAAAATGATTTTATAGTATAATTTTAACAATTAATAAATATAAAATTATTGCAGAAATGTTAATAGTAATTAATGATCAAAAAAATGTAGTATTCTCAAACTCTTAATTTTTGAAAACTTAACATTTTGAAGTACAATAAAAAATACCAATAAAATAGTTATACTAATGTTTGGTAGATGATAGATAAAACTTTTTTATACATATCATGAATTATGTTAAAATAACATTTTTGTAACATTTTATCTTTTTTGACACAAAATAATACTTTAATTTTATTTTATAACTTTTTTCTTTTCATAGGTGTATGCTATGTAAAGCAGAGAGTCAATTGCAAGAATATGAATCATTGTTATTTAGTGTATCAAATAAACAAAAATCTTCAGTGACTGAAAAGGATGAAGAAAAATCTGAAACATTGTATGAGAGTACGAGTAAAGGTCTTTGGAAAATGTCACAAAAAGAATTTTTATTGACAAGTTAATTGATGTTATGTAATATTTTAGTTTAATTATCTTATTAATTTTTTAATTAAATTTTTTAGAGTTACTTCAGTATGGACAAGCAAAAATAATTAATAAAAATTGTTTTAAAGATGCTGCTGAACATATGAAATTATTAGAATTAGTGCGTAAAGAATTTAGATATCTAAGATTGTTATGGACACATTTAAGTGATAATTTAGCAGCTCATGATGAAATAGTTATGGCAAAATCTAGGCTTAGATTAGGTGATACTATAGAACAAGATTATGATGAAAATGGTCCACCTAAGAAAAAATCTAAAAAAGAAAATGAAAATGATGTTATAATGGAACAATATGTAAGTAAAAAATAAAAATTATTATAATAAAGGATTTCGTTGATACATTTAAACAATTATATGTCTTATTTCTTAATTAATGGTAAAAAAAAATATTCTAAAATGATGAATTATCAACTTGAATATTATAGTACCATCGAACTAAGGAAAAATTTTTTTATGTTAATACTTCAAAAAAATAAGTTACACTAAACAATCTTATTTAAATTAGTATGTATAGTAAAAAAAATCTCAATATAGTTTTATTCAGTGTTCTTTTATCATTAAATTAAAATACTTCTTTATGTAAGAGCTGTGTATTCTAATTGAATCTTGTGTTTCCTGAACTTTTCAAAATATTAGATAAAAAAGCATCTAATGTGGCATTTAGCATTTCCTTTTGAAAATTATCAAGTGCTACCTTTTTTGAGTAACATAGTTGCTTGCGACACTCTCAGTTTTTTTTTTTTATTAAGAATCTTAATAAACTCATACCTCATAAATTGATAATAGTTTTAGATTTATATTTAATACTATCCTTATAAATTAATGATTAAACTGTATAAAATTGAACCTTGATACCTATGCACTTAGATTCAATACGTTCTTTACCAAAAATATTTGTATAATATTAATATTTTATTTTTTATTTTCATAATTATATTACTGTATACCATATAATTACCATTACAATTTCTCTTTTAAGGTTGCTACAAATCTAAAAAACGTGAAAAATTTGCGGAGTTTTTTTATTTTTGCCTACATTTTTTAAATGATGTATGGAATATTTTTAAAAATTGATTGGAAAAGTCAGGCAATTCGAACATTTTTAATTTGTGGCAACCAGGAAATAAGTCTTTTTTTTCTTCACAATTATATAGTGAGATCATTTTTCAAATGTTCATTGAGTATTTCATAAAATTTATGAAATGCTCAATGAAAACATTCAATGTTTTTCTTACTTTTGAAAAATGATAATAGTAGTCGTCTGGAGTACAGATAAATATTCTTAGGCGAAACTAAACTGAATTTGGTAATGTTATTCTAAATATAAAATGTAGAATATAATTATAATTATGATGGTAATATGCAAAATATAATATAATAATATTTATAAACATTTTTATCAATTTTGTTTAAAGGTGGATTATAATATGTTTTCTTTAAAATCAGAAATTCCTATAAGTGAATCTTATTTAGAAACAAAAATTGGTACATTAATATACCTTGAAAATTTAAAGAAAGAAAAATCAAACACCACTGAATTAGAGTCTTGTCCAATATGTTGCTACTCTATAGAGCAAGAAGTAATGTTTTTTATAACTATCGAATAATTAATGAATAGGACAGTGTAAATATGTATTTATTTCTATTATTTTGATTTTTTTTTAGTGGGCAGTATTACAGTGTGGCCATTGTATTTGTAATACATGTATAGCAACTGTTTGCAATAGATCTGATGGTCATAATGTAGCTTGTCCAATGTGTCGTACACAGACACCATTAATATCTATATCATATGTGAAAAGTAATCAAGATAGTAATATAAATGGCATAGTCTTAAAAGGCTCATTTTCCACAAAAATTGAATCTATTACTATAAAACTAATTGAATTAATCAACAACAATGCTAATGTTAAAGTTCTCATATTTTCAGCGGTAATTACACAATACATTCTATTATTTATAAAAAAATAATTATACATTAATATATTTCATTATTTATATTATATTAATATATTATCATTGAAAATATTTAGTGGGATAAAGTACTAGATCTCCTTGGAGAAGCACTAGAACAAAATTCAATAAAATATCGAAGACTAAAAACTGGACAAACTTACAAGAAAACCTTAAAAGACTTTAAAGTAACTACGTTAATTGAACATTAATATTTACTTAGTTATTAAGTTACTGTTACAATTAATTTAATTTAAATTTATTTTTGAAATATTGTTGAAAAAAAAAGTTTCTATTTGTTTTAAAAATGATGTGATTTGATTGATATAGACAAACGAAAAAATTAATGCATTACTAATGAATCTAAATTTTGGATCAAAAGGATTGAATTTAACCGAAGCTACTCAAATTTTTTTTGTTGAACCAGTTTTGAATCCAGCTGATAGTTTACAAGCAATAGGACGAATTTATAGAATTGGACAAACATTGTAATATTTTATATTGATAATTTATATAAGAAAACTTAAATAATTTTTTTTTTAGACCTACATTTATACATCACTTTATTATTCGTGAATCTGTTGAAGAAAATATTACTAATATATTTTCTAATGAATGTCAGTCTATGGGAAGTTGGGATGAACTAACTTTGTCACAATTAATTAGGGTTTTTGAAAAGAATGAATTATATGAAGTAACAAATGAACAAAATAATGATGTATTAGAACTGCCTGTTGTATAATTTTATGAATAATTATTTCTTATAATTTTTCATTTATATTTACGGAAGTTAAAGTATTCATTTTTTACAAAGTTATATTTTTTTATTACCTATTTAAGTCCTAGAACTACAATTTAATAAATATGTTTTTTTTTGAACTCATTTGAAAGATATTATCTTTATTGTTATTATTAGTTTAATAGTTATTATTAAATTTAATATTTAATAATTACTAATTTATTAGTTATTATTAACTATTTTTAATAAATAAAAGTGATATTAATTTATTTAAAAAGTAGTTCATATTTTAAATTTATTCTAATTTAATAAAATCATTAATTTTATAAATACTTTTTCTACAATATACATCAAATGCATACTGTGTAATTTTCAAATTTTATTTCAATAAAACTATTTTTTTTCTTAGGTTATATATTACATTAATAGTGTTATAAATGGTTATATATTTAATCATGTAATTTTTTTTTGTATTTTTGTATATAATGTATACATTTTATATCATTGGTGAACCAATTTTTATTAGTAAACAATTGGTAATAAAAAAAACTAAGTATGAAAGTTATTTTAGTTAAATAATATTATTTAGCATAAATATATCCATTCAATATTTACAAGTTCATTCTTAATACAAATTTATTTAAACTTTTGTAGCCTTGTAATAAGCATTACATTATATTTATAAACAATAAAGCATCATATTCTTTAATTTTAATAATATTTTAACTAATAAAGAGTAAGTTAAAAATATTTTTAACATTTTTAAATTGAAATTTGTTAATTTTTATTATTTGTGATTAAAAAATGTATAAAACTTGTATTTTTCATGTAGATACTAATTTTATTTAAAAATATTATTTATCATAATTATTTAGTATATAAAAGTATTGAGTTTTATTTATTTATAACATTTCTTATTTAAAAATGATAACAAAAGTTATTCTGATATTAAATCAAATTTTTAATAAACTATTGAATGACTAACTACAATTCTTCAAATTTTTTAACTTTATGTAGGTTTTCTTTGATAATTCCAATTATACTGGTCATATGACACACAAAAAAAAAAGTTAAAGTAATATTTATTAATACTTTACATAAATTATCTATCTTTTAATAGCAATTTTAAAATTATTAGGTTAATGTAATAATAGTTATAGTGGAAAGTTCAGTATTTTTTTTTTTTATGAAAATCGATTATTAAACTCAAATTTAGGTATATAAAAATGGTTCAACTTGACAGATAAGCCTAAATTTTGCACAACCGAAAAAATGTTGGGAAAATTTTCAGTTTATTATTTTATTTCAGTATTTAAATATCACTAAAAGAATTACTAACAAGTAATTATATTGTTAGTTAGATGTGATGATAAAAACCTGTATAGTCATGATTCTTTATATCCACTTAGATATTGTAAGAAAAATTGACAGAAATTTTTTTTTTTGTTATCCTATGTCAAATAAAATTTTTGTGACTAAAAAATAAAAAGTTAGGAATTTTCATTATTACTATTGTAATTATGATTGTTTTAACTATATATCTTGCAATTTTATAATAGTTTCAATAATAATGATAATAATTCGTGGAGTAAACATTTATTTTCAGGGAGGTTGAATATTTTTTTAAATGAAGAAGGGGTAAAGGTAGAGCAAAAATGAAATGGGGAGCTGTTATTGTAGATGATGTGGGAGTCAAGTGGAAGTATAAAGTAGGATAAGAGTAGCCGACTCAAAGTAGTTGTGATAAAAAGAAAAAGACAAAGAATTTTTTGTGAAGACGTTTTTTGCTCAAATTAAATTTAGAAGTATAATTTTTAATAATTAATTCAGTCATAGGATGAATTTTTAAGCGAGTTGCAATCCTCTTAGCCCTTTGGTTACGCCACTGATAAAAATACTAATGACAATTATGTAAATGAATAATAAAAAAAATACCAATATTTAATATTCAAGTAAAGGTATCATAAGGACATAAAAATTTTTTTTGTATTATTATATAAATTAAAATTTTTTCTCGATTTCGATATAGTTGTTTATCCAATCTTCAACTTTTTTTTTGGATACTTGGACATTTTTCAGAGGTATTCTATTTATTGCCACACTTAAATTTTTTTTTGATATCATATATGGCTGTGATATTTGAAAATTATTAATATTCTGATATTGGCGTCCGGCTTCTAAAAATTTTCTCAATTCATTTCCTTCATTAATATTATTCATATCATTTAATTTTTGTTCACAATCAACCTTATACATTTTACTATTTAAAGATTGTATTAATGTATTATTTAAATTTAATGGTGGATACATCATACTAATATCCTTGAATGCTTCATCCCAATTTTCATATTCATAATTTTTTTTCACTGTTTGGTTCATACCTTTTAAAATGTCTTCAGAAATTGATGAAAAACCATTGCATTTTAAATGATCCTCTTGGATAATACAACATTGATCTAGTATATGTTTAATATCTTCATCAAAATCATCATCTATATTGTCAATACCATCCAATGAGCTATAAGAATTTGAAAAAGCTCCCTCTTCATAAATTTGAAAACGCTTAAGATGTTGTAGAACGAAATCCACATATTCAGTGTCATTATTTACATAATTTATTGACATGTCGGTAAAAAATCAAATTAAAAGTATACATAAATAAATACATAAATGTATGGATTTTATAGTATCTTTCATTACACAATTTTTGTTGCCACGACAACAAATATACTATTGTTTTAGTTTTAGATTATAGTAATATTAAGTTTGATCAATATATTAGAAACTTTCACAGAATGTTAAAGAAAATAAAAAAGAAGTAAAAATATAATTTTTATAGTGTTATTATAATCTATCCATAAAATTTATTTTAATAGTAGTACCATTTGCCTACAAACTTGTAAGTATGATATAGTTAATTTTGTAGCAAAATCATTGGGTATGAAAGAAATGGATCATAACAAACCTTGGGATATATGTTGGACGGATTCATTAATAAGTGTTGAAAAGGTTAAAGATATGAAAAAATATCAGGTTAGTATTTTATCGTGTTTTAAAGCGAAATGTATTTATAAAATGTCTATTTAAAAATATTTAATAATAATTAAATACTAATTTATTGTAATGAATCAAAATTTTAAATATTTGTTATTAATTATTATAATAGCATAAACTTAGATAATAGAATAAAAGAAGATTATTATTTTCCTCCAATTTATCATATCATTGGTTTTTAAATGGTTATATACAGAATATAAATTAGTTTTTATATTGTATTACTCTAAATACCATAATTTTATTTATTAAAATAATGGAAATCTACATGAAAAACTGGCCTAATACACATTTTTAGTTAATAGAAATTATCTGACATGACTTTAACTATTAAGTCCAAAATCGTATCCAAAAGGTTTAACTCCCGCACGTGACGCATATAATTGCATGTTAGAGATGTTTTTAGAAGGAAAGTGGTAAATTTTGATGTATTGTAAGAGCACTTATTACTAAGTTCTTACCACTTATATTATACACATTTTATTTCCTTTTACTTAATTCGTATTACATTATTAATTAGCATAGAGGGAGACGCTGATGTAACATTCTACTGGTCTATAGCCGGAGCTACTGACGTCGATTTAATAAAGGGCAGTTATGTTATAAACATAGTTTTCAATACTATCACTTTCGTCTTGTTTATATTATTAATAACTTGTTTTATTCATCGACTCGTCTATCGCCAATAGTCATTATAGCCAACCAACTCCGTCTCACTTGGATAGGTATATCCAACTACAAGAATTCAGATCAAACGAATTGTACATTACATATAACTTATATTTACTGAACATCTAAAATATGACTTTACTTTATCGTTGACATAAAACAATAGTTTTACTTCATTATATAATCTCTCTCTAGTAACTAAGGTACACAATTAACTGTGTCTCCTTCATGTAATTAAACTCATTTAAGGAGATAGGGACAATATTTGGGCAGACGTTAGGTAGCTTCCGATTCTTGGTTTTGACCAAGATCCTCAAGTATTAAACAAGCCCCTAACAGTATGTAAATCCTCACTTTAACAAAAAATCCTTAGCATACCACTAATAGAGTGTGTGTCAATAAAAGTTGCTTATAATTATCTTTTATTTCATTTTTAATTGAGCCGGATTTGTAATTAAGCAATTCAATTGAGATTTACTACAATATGATTATAAAAATAATCAGATAAATTTTTTTTTTACAGAAAATTAATCATTTTCCAGGAGTTGTTGAAATTTGTCGGAAAGATTTATTAGCTTCTAATCTCAATAGAATGATTTTTGTATTTCCGAATGAATATGATTTTTTTCCGAAGACATGGTATTTACCAATCGAGTACTAATATTTACTTTCAATTTTTATATTATATATTTACATTAGTTTCTATATTATTTACATTTTATATACAGATATACTAAACTAAAAAATTATATGAGTGAACATAAAGGTTTAACTTACATTCTAAAACCGGATGTCGGTTCTAAAGGTGAAGGAATTTACTTAACAAAATCTTTGAAAAAATTTGATCGATACGAAAAATCTATTTGTCAAGTTTATATTTCTAAAGTAAATGCTCATAATTTTTTTTACATTCAGAAGGTCCTGTTATTAAATTTAGTGGTGGTATGAAATTTATTTTATTTTGTAATATTTTATATTACTGTGATAATATCACTATATCAAATACACTTTCTTTAAAATAATTAATTTTTTTTAGAAGACTTTAAATCGTCATGCAAGGAATATTTTTAATTAGGGGCGAATTTAAGGGGAAATGTTAAAGAACGACACATAGTTGCTGTGCACATTTTTTCCTACTACTTATTTAGTCATTTATCTTGTTTTTATTATAGTTCTATGCTTTATTTTACAGCCTTTGTTAATGGACGGATATAAATTTGATATAAGAGTGTATACTTTGATAGCATCATGTGACCCACTCAGAATTTATGTATACAATGATGGTTTAGTGAGGTAGTACAAAAGAACCCGCTCTTCACCTTCATTCATTATTTTGATGTGTTTAATAATTTCCGAAATACTACTTCAAAAGTTGTTATCGACTAAATATTTTCTTAGATAGATAATTTTCTTATTTTTAAAAAGTTAAATATATATGTTACCATTTAAAAAAGGTAAGTTGGTACAATTTTAAAAGGAGAAAGAAAGGGGATAGAACTATTTAAATGTATAGGACACTAATAACTACTGAATAGAAGAAAATACATTTTTCCTTATATTTTTTAATATATTCCGTTAATTATAGTTAGCTGATCACTTAAGTTACATCAATATATACTTCACCATATATTTGTATTTTTCAATTATAAAGATTAGCGACTGAACAATATGAAAAACCAAGTGTTAGCAACTTAAAAAATCGGTTTATGCACTTGACAAATTATTCTGTAAATAAACGAAGTACTATATTTGTTGACAATGAACATTATGGAAGTAAACGGTAAATTTAAATCAAGGCACTTGATTGTGCCTTGATGATTAAAATGATGTACTTTGTAAAAGTACATCATTTTAAGTATTAAAGAAGTAACATTTTAACTTCAGAAGAAAATTTTTAATGAGCTAATATAGAGTAAGCCCTTCCGGTTTTCAAAGTTTTATTTTTAGTTGAGAGAGTATAAAAGGAGTTTTTCACTTTTTTTAAATTATTTAGGGTACTTAAGCTCTCTTAATCACAAAAGTTTTAAAGCTTTAATTTAAATTAACGAATAACTTAATTTTATAAATGATAATTTTTAAAAGTTAAAATTGAACTAAAATATATTTTATAGGCGAATAAAAACTCTAAATGAGTGGCTAGAAGCTAAAGGTTACAATGTGGGGAAAATATGGAATAATATTGATGATATTATTATCAAAACAATTATAATAGCTTATCCATTTGTCAAAAGAAGTTATGAAGCATGTTTTCCAAAACATGAATACACATCAGCATGTTTCGAACTACTAGGTTTTGATATCCTTATTGACGTTAATTGCAAACCGTATCTTTTAGAAGTTAGTAAAAAAATTAGATTATTAAAGTAAATGGAAGTACTACGATAATATTATTTTTTAATAATGAAATTAGTATTTTGAATAATTTAATCTCGTGTTTATTTAAAAATTCATTTGATTCTAATAAAACCAAGGCTTGGAATCAAAATAACTTTTTCCGATTCAGTTTGTCAATGTAATGTTTATATGATTTTAATATCGATCTAATAAATTTATTTAAACAATCTAATTAATTAACAATAACTATATCATTTTTTCCGATTTCTATATCGTTATATAATATTGATTTAATACGTTTTAATACTATTTAAAGGGCGATTCTGGAAAAATTTGGGGGTGCCAAAATTCATGTAGCCACTCAGCATCAAAATATGAAATACGACCTGTTATTATCTATAAGTTTTACTAGAATTATTTTCTAAAAATATTTCTGGTATGGAATCATATCATTCAATCATTGGCGGTAAATGAATTATAGATATTTTAGATAATTACATTGTAATAATTTTAGTATCACATTATTAAATTAATCATGAATAGTGTAATAACATGTTACTGTTTAAATGATTTTTGGTTACCTTATTTTATAATTGATTTTTACAATTATAATCAATTTTAATAATCCGCACAACTGATTAATTTTTTTTACAACTTTTTTATTGCTTTTTTTTAGTTAAAGCATATCATTAAAATTAAGTTCTGAATAATTCAATTTTAGATTAACCAAGAGTTATAAAGAAATGATTACTATTATGATTTCTATTGAAATTATTTATTATGATTAAAATGCAAAAGAAAATAATGATTTTAACGAAATATTGAGCTTTTCTCGTAAATATACTAACAATAATAATTATAAAACTTCCGGACTGTATACTAATATTACCAAAACAATTTTTTTTTGCAAAAAACTTATAGTAAGAACACTTATTTCATTACTAAATGATGCTAAATAATGTAAGCAACAAAGCCAAAGATAATGCAAAAGTCAAAGTTTAAATTTGAAAATAAAATTATTTAAAATCATTTTTAACGTGTCTTAGAGTTACACATTATTAAAAAATTGTTTTTGAGCCATTTTAGCTAAACATGGAAAGTTGTGTCTGAAAGTTTTAATTGATTGATACGATGAGTAAATTTTTCAATCTATCCAACGAATTAATATTAACATATTAATAAATTATTTTTAGCTTCGATGCGAAGCGTAGAAGGTATTAATTTTACTATGTGTTTTTTTTATTTATTGTGTCTGTGAATACTCAATCTCAGCTCTCGCTGGATCGATTTTGATGAAGAATACTTCAAAAGATCACTAATCGTATCTAATCAAAGACATTACCCTCAAAAATTGAAAAAAATTCCCTCGTTCTCCGTAAACGGGGGAAATCCCCCCAAAATTACAAATTTAAAAATTACTAATTTTCGACATATTTTCAATTTTTTTTACTTAAAATTGCCATAACTTTTTTAAAAATAACCGAATGATTATATATATATTTTTTTAGATACCTTATGTATTTACCTATCTTTTGATATATTTTTTTGAATATTTGACCCCTTACCAGCCCATAGGAAAGGGCTTCAAAATGGCAACTTTTTCACAAAAAATTAACTTTTTTAACTTAACTTATACGCGTTAAAAGTAAAGAAATATACAACTACTTTACTATTTTTATAATATCTCCGTAAAAATTACAATATTAAATTATTGAATATCAATTCCATACTAAATTTAATTATTATAATTATTATTCATATATAATGATTATAAATCAAATAACTAATCGGGATAAAATTAAGAGAATAAGAGTTACTGTTACTTTTGAAATAATCTACAAATTTCTTAAAATAAAGTACTATCTACAGATTTGCATGAAGCGTTTCTTATGATAGTGATTTTAATCACTGTCAGATATCATCTATACTTGTCCCAACTATGCCACGTCCATACTGTGCCGCGACCCCACTATGCTACTGTTTTTTTTTATTTTAACTTATTTCATTAAAATAAGTACATGATACTAATATGATTGTATTAATTTAACTAGCAGTTGATGTCTTCAAACAACTCTTGCATTTATGTCGTAAGAACAAATCCTTAATCTTGAGAATTTTTTTTTAACTATATTTTTAAAACGAACTAAATATTAAAACCAATGTATTATAACATAAACTCATCAAAATTAACCAATACGTAAAGATTTATTGATATCAGTAGCGGCTCGTGGTCTGGACGACAGAACGATCGCACCCCCTAATAAAATTAATCAAAAGAAGAAACTTAATTGTATATTCTTAATTCTACATTTGTATTAAAAATGCAAAATTTTTAAATAGTAAAATAGTTATAATACATTTGTGGTGTGCGAACATTACAGTTGTTTTCCTCTGTATATACGGACACGCATACACACTCGAATAGTGTTTGGTCAATCAGCAGCGTCGTCCATACAGTAAAATATTTGTATACTACTATGTTAGGTAATTTATTTTTAGAATCAACTGCTTGTCGTTGTTGATTGTTATAATAGTATAATCGCTATTATTATTTTCATTTTTATTTTCTACTGCAACCTTTAAAATAATAACATGTGTTTTGTGTTTTATTGCATTATATTTAATTTGACAATTTTTTATACGTACGACTAACTGTATTATATTTAAAGTTGCATCTCCATCACCAACACCCTCGAGACACTACTGGTTGATATAAGAATCAAATACTTAAATAGAATATATTAATTAAATAGAATATATATAAAATAAATTTAATATATTAAATAGAATTATTAATTTAAAACCATTGAAATAAAAATGTATCATGAATTGAAACATTTTTAGTGTTATATTACATTTTATTGAACTAACTCGAAAACGCATTAAAAAAATTGGTACTTGAGTTTCATAGTTCATGATTATGAAAATTTGTATTATTATGTAATGATATTAATCAACATATGTGTTTTTTAATATTGCATTTTCAACTTGTAAATTTATTTTTTATTTTATGAGGATAAATGTAAGAAGTAATTTACACTGTAAAAAATATTATTAAGCTATGTTAATAAAGCAACAAATTAAATTTTTTAAATAGAAAATCTCATATAGTTGTTCAAACTGTATCACTTTTAAAATTTACTATAATTTTGTTCTGTCAGTCCAACTATTAAGTTTTTTTCCATATTTTCCATTTTCATTTTCCATATTTACAGACATTTTACTTTATGCTAGGTTAATCATTCTCCAAGTTACCACACTGAAACAACTCTTGATAAAATATTGAAACAAGAACTATTAACAGATACCTTTAAATTATTACAACTAGATACATCTATAAAAAAATTAGTTATCGAAGAAGAAAAATGGAAAGCTGAACAACGAAAAATAATCGGCGATAAAACTGCCTAGTAAATTTATTTTTAAATTATTCATATTTCAAATCAGGGCTAGCGATTGAGTCAAGTCAATTCGCCTTGGGGCAAGCTTTCAAAAAGACCTCAAAAGCGTAGACAAAATCGAAAAAAATATTTTTATATATAAAAATTAATAAATAAAAAGAGTCTAGCAAAAACGTTTTTGTATCAGGTCTTTGAATATCTAGCGCCAGCACGCTATATATTGCGTGCATTGTTTTACAAAGAAAAATAAATACATTAAATTTTCATTGAATTTCTTAGCAACCAGCGAATTTTGGAATGTAAAAAAATGTGTGAAGAAAATAAAAGATCTTGGGAAATGAAAAATATGGGCAACTATAGATTGATTTATCCTGAAAAAGATAGTAATTTATATGAAAAATTTTTTTATCAAAACGAAAGTACTCTTTATAAAAACACTCATAGTTCAAAATTAAGATTAAAACCATCAGTAATTATTTAAAATCTGCTAATAATTTTAAAAATACAAAAGAATTGTAAATAAAGTTTATTATAATAATAATAAATTATTATAATAATTCTACGATGTAGTTTAAAGTAATTTTTATGTCTTAAGATAAATCAAAAGATTGACAAATCGATAAGAAAATATAGTAAGTATTCGTGTAAACAAAAAAACACCGAAAATAATCTCAAGAGTGAGATATTTTCATCATTTAACAGTAATAAGTTCATATCTAAGAATGAAGATCGATTTAATGAAAAAACTACGAATTTTTCCAGTGTGTTAAAAAGATCTAAAAATAATATAAAATCAATTTCCTCGCTTATAATTGTAAGTAGTATAGTTTCTAAAATAACAATAATAAATAATTGTTGAAGTGTATGTTTTAAATTATTCTTTAACAAATTATATTAAATACATTTATATTTTATAAGTTTCATATAGCTATTATATAAAATTTAAAAAATACTAACTATTCAAATTTCAATATTTAATGTTAAAATGCGAGCAGTTAAAATTTTTTAGTATTAATTTAAATAAATAAATTCGCTATTAATATTATTTTGCGGTCTAGTATAATAAAAGAAAAGGCTATTGGAATTGTTGGGATGACTTTAATATAAATGTAGTCGATGAAAATGAAAGATTAATTAGTATCAAAAATAGAGACAAAATTATGTTTAATTTTGGTATAAAAGAACATGTGAGTTTGCACAAAATTTATTAAGTATATGTTAGTATTTGGTTTAACTAAAGTGTAATCACATCTATATATAAGTCGATCATGTATTAATATATAGATTGAAAGATATAAAATATAATATAAATATTTTACATGTATTATTTTTTATTTTCTATCAACCTATATACTTACATTTTCTAAAATGAATTGTGAAATGTACCCATTATTTTAAAAAATATAGCCATTTAATTTGTCTTTGCAGATATACAACGCTTTTAAAAAATACAATCTTCTGACAGAGAATGATGAAGTAAATTATGCCAATTATAAAAAAAAGAAAACTTTGCTGGAACCGAATTCACGGACTTATTTTTTTTAGAAAATTAATTTTAAAACTAATTATAACGTGGCCAAAAGTAATAAACAATTAGTAAATAACATTTGATTTTCCAACATTTATGATGTAAATAAATATATATATATATAGTTAAAGTGATTTTAATAAAAAAAAGAGTAATTTTATGAAAAAAAAACCCAGCTCATGGGGGTCGTGGCACAGTGGTGCGCGGCATAGTTAGGTCAAGTATAATATCTGACAGTGATTACAATCACTATTATAAAAAATGCTTTGATGCAAATTTGTAGTGTATAATTTAAAAAAATTGGTGGATTATTCTAAAATCTCTCCTATTTTCTTATTTATATCCTGTTTTATGATTTATAAGTCTAATATATGAATAAATATATATATAAAGAGAAATGGTGTTATTTAAAAAAAAAAGTATGTCGAATAAAAGAGGGATTTATATATTATTTCTCATAAAAAAATTGTATTGATCCATACACTTTTCAAAAAGTTATAGCATAATAAAGTTAAAAATTTTAAATATAAAATCGAGAATTTTCAAACAAAAATAGCATTTGTAGCCATTTTCATCGTGAAGACAAAATAAAGTCCGAAATTTTTTTTCCATTATAAAGTATATTACATTAGGGGTCAAATGTTTAAAAAAATATATCAAAAGATAGGTAAATACATAAGGTATCTATAAATTTTTTTTTTATTAATTCGGTCATTTTTAAGTAAAAAAAATTGAAAAAATTTCGAAAATTAGCGTTTTTTAAATTTGTAATTTTTTGGTGGATTTTCCCCTTTTACGGGGAACAAGGGAATTTTTTTCAATTTTTGAGGGTAATGTCTTCGACTATTTATGATTTGTGATCTTTTGACGTATCGTTGAAAGAAATTGGTTCGGTGAGAGCTGAGAAATAGTGGTAAGACACAAAAAAAAAAAATACATCGTAGTAAAACTAAAAGTATCGTAGTAAGCTAAAAAAAAGAAAAAACAAGTGGTGAGTATGACATCATTGAAAGTTGGAGTTGGAGTTAGATTGAGAATGAGAGTTACTTTTAATTCAGGGTATGATTCGAGGATCATAAAATAACATAAATATTGACTATTATTGATTTTAAAAATCTTACCTGATAATTTTCTTGGTTCTTATAATATCTGAAATAATAATATTAATCATTAATTGAAAAATTAAATAACACAAATCTATTTAGTTCAATGATGACAATGTTTGCGTAACGATATCTAGAGCATGAAAAGAACAGACCAGAATAAGGGTTTGCTCTGCCTTTTTATAATACATTTTTACCCCCAAAAATCATCGTTGTCTAATTCTTACAGTATAACTGTTTATTGTAAGTAAGCATAAAATATAGAAATTATTTTATATGAATGGAGTATATAAATCATTTTGACATTTTATATATAACATCAACAGTTTTTTACACATAATATTAGGGTTGATACAATATATTTAATTATTAAAATTAGAATAAGAAAAGATGACAAATATAATTTATAGATTTCTTTTTGGAAGGAGGATTTTAAAAAGTGATTATTAATTGATTTACGATTGAATCGTGTATATTACAATATAACTAAATAGTATGCGTTTGTTGACTATTTCTCTTAAATGTTTATTTTTTTTTTTTTTTTAAAGAATTATGTCCTTCTAAGAATATAATGTATAAATATCCCATGTTATGATAGTGATAAGTATATTACGATAGCTCGATACTAAGATAAGATAATATAATCTATGGTGCACTAGATGCCATAAAAATCCCAATAGTCACTTTATTTTTTGGTTAACACCCTGTGATTAATAGCAACCCTTCCACTTGGTAAGTGAAAGGGTAAGTTGTAAGTTTCACACTCTGGGTTAGGTGGGCTTATTTGCTATTAGCAAGCAGGTATAGGTAGCTAACCGACTAAGAGCAATGGTACGTGTTGTCACCCCCACTGAGTTAACTAAAATCCGTGGAATTTTTAAGCTCATGAAGGATCACCCTGCGGGATCAAAATCTTCTAATTGATAACCAATTGACTAACTTATTTCTAACTTAAATAGGGTGACTACACAGTTATTACATTTTAATGAGCATAATACACAAACTATATTTTCTGTTAATTTTTAAAAAAAAAAGTTTTTTATGTATATTGTTTCTACGAAAATTAATATGGTTTAGTCCAAAAAACTACCTGCTACTTTCTAATGATTACTGATATAGTAAATGAAAATGTCATATGATGTATACATTACTATAATACTAACATTTTATGTAAATATTATAAAAATCTATTAATTTGACTTTAAGTCAATCGAAAATTTCATTTAATTAAATTATTTTGTAGTTGAAAATGTATTATTTTTTGATAAAATAAAGTTATTACAAATCAAATATTGCTCAATAAAATAAATATAACGTTTTAATGAGTTTTGTTGATAATGCAGTTTCACAAATACTAAGAAGGCTATTTGTCATTTGAATTTGAGTGCGTAGTTTACAGTTGACAACGGTAGATACTAGTTTGTTATATTGTTTAACAGCTAGAACTTCAATGCATTTGTGACGTGAGTGTTTATATTATAAATATTTTAATTTTTCATAACATCTCCAAAATTACTTTAGCTTGAACATTATTTGTATACTATGTATATTCTTTAATTGATTCATAGAAAATTATTTTATTTTAACAAAGATAGGGTACGTATGAATACAAATTATATTTTTATACTGCACATATATTAGATATTTTTTGACAGTTAAAATAGGAATATATTATAAATGTTGCAATTCGTATTTAAATTATTTAAAAGTAGTAAGTAATTAAAAAAATTCTTTTGTTAATTTTATATCAATCTTGTCTAAATAAAACAGATAGATTGAATAATTTTTTAGAAAACAAAATTTTTTACTTTTAACTTTTTACTGTTAATAAGCACAATTAAGGCATTTTAGTAGGCATGTATCTAAAAATTTTTAAAGGTTTTTATATTACACTCAGGATTAGAAAAGATCTGGATTTTTTTTTAACTAAGATGTCAGGTGATTTTATCTACCGGGTTTTATGTCAACTCATTGCCCGTGTAGTTTCAATAATAATTATGTTTATGGCATACCTAAATAATAATTTTTAATATTGACAGACTTAAAAATAATAAGTATATCATGATAACACTAATAGCCATCTAAGCCAAAAAAATCTGAACTAAATAGTGTGTTTTTTTAATTTTTACATTAATAAACATTAATTACGATAAAAAAAAGAAAAAGCATAACTTTTTATTTTAAATGAAAACTATATTTTTTTATGCCTAAAGAATTAGCTATGGTTTTTTGAAAAAATTGTTTGGATATAGTCTAGAAATGCCGAATGAGTTTTTTTGGGGTCAGAGTCTTTTTGCCATCCCTGTTCATTAATTTTTCAAAAAATATTATTTTAAGTATTGTGATTTACACCATTTTTAGAAAGAGATATTTTATTTTTAAAATCTTTTAAGTTATTTTTTATCATTATAAACCAAACCAAAGAATAACATTATCGACTTTTACCTATAAAATTTGATTATTGTGAAAATAAAGTTTATTAAATTTAAATTTTTCATGAGTAGTCTATAATTTAATTTTTGTATTTCATACTTCAATTATGAAATGTTGAGTATTTTGACCATCTGTTGGTATTTATGTGTCATTAATGCACGGCGGACTTGAGGATGGCTAATACTTTTAGAATAAATTCATTACTTTTAATATATTAGTAATTAATTTATTTTGATTATAAATATTTTTAATCAATGTTATTATCTATTCTACATTAATTTTTAAATTATAAAATATTTAATCAATAGATGGAGAAATAAATCGTACAATGACGGCTCTACAGATTGAGTTGGGAAAAATATCTCGCGCGGGTCACTTTTTATTAAGAATTATTCTAGCATTGATAGGTCCGGAAGTAGAATATTTTAATCTAAGAGATTTAATATAAAAACTATTCTAAAAACTCAAATTAAACCACAACTTATCGGAAGATATTATAATGTCAAAAACTTTAAACAACCAAAAGTATAACTTTCAGGATTAAAAAATATACATAGGATAAGAGGATAAAAACATATTCGTAACACAGTTTGTTTTATGGGAGTAGAGAAGATGAGGCATTGAAGTAGTAAAGTTATCCTCCAAGCCTATTAACTGGACTAAGTATAGGGTTATGGTTACATATTAATTTTTTCCAAACTATGAAAATACTAAAGTATCAAAAACTGTTATTTAATATAGAAAAAATGATATCATGTATTATTTAGCATATTACACATTAATTAATGATTTGTATTTATTCTTTTGTATAACACAGCTCCATAAATAAAATTGAATGAAAAGTGCAAATAAACAGACCATGTTTACTTTATGTTTGTGGGGTCACTGAATCCGAATCTGAGTTTTGTTTGACGCTGTCACATCAGGTTTCTTCATAACCTCGAAAAATGGGCGAAGTAAGTACTCAACAATATCAACAGGGCAATTTCTATACTAGGGCAGTGGTCCTCACCTAGTATAGTATTAGCAATGAAGTATTGTGTGGACATATTACTATATTATGCTAAAAGTACTCTCAGCGTCAGGTTAGTCTAAATGATGCTAGGCTTTTTACAGGTTATGGCTCTGTGCACAGTAGATTTAGGTTAAAAATTTTCTTGTCTTACTTCCTAATGAATAACTTGGTTCTCAAGCACAATTTTAAGGTTATAAAAAACCATGACGTGATGGCGTCAAACTAACTTCAGATTCGGATTCAGCGACCCCACAAACATAAAGTAAACATGGTCTGTTACTAACTCTTTTCATTCGATTTTTTTTGTGGAGCTGTTTAATGATTGAAACTATAAGTAGGAACTAACAATAATTTTTATGATACAAATAAAAAAAATTTTGTAAAAATTCAAGCTCGAAAATAAATTGTTTATTGGATTTAAAACGCACAAAAGTTCTTATCAAAATCAAAGGAGGAAATTAAGATAGGAAGTTAAGAAAAATTCTCGTTAAACCAACTACTATTGTCTCATTTTTTTATAAGTAAAATATAGTTCACTTTGGGTAGCTAAAATATTGAGTATCCGTATTAAATATTATAGTATTTTTGTCTATTTTTTTCAGGTAAAAATGTCTCTATTATCATTTGTGTTAGAAAATACTCCTGAAAATTGGAATTACATATCATATTATTCAAATAATTATGAATTATTTGAAATCGATGAATATACTACTGAATATAAGAATATAAAACAATATTTCAATGATACAATAATCAAAAATCTGTATCGTGTTCAGAACCCATATCAATATGGACGATTTTTAATAAGAAAAGAAATGACAGGAATATATGCAGAAGTAACACTATAATTATGTTACTTCTATAACTTACTTAGTTAATTATATATAGGTGGTACGGCACTAGTAATGTGCGTGGTGTGTCCCGCAAACTCAAACAAAAAAGGTGGTATTTTTTCTTAAAAAAAAAAAGAATATTTAGAGACCCTTTAAACTATTTCGTACAAAGCTCATTAATATTTAGTGCTGGTTCTGTACATAGAGCTCGATTTATGCATTTAAAAAATTTGTTTAAGTTACTTTTAAAACATTTAACTCAGTTAAATATTAATATTTTATTATTTTATTATTAGAGTATAAGTACTACAGGGATATTTTTTGTTATAAAGGGAGAGTGTGTCCCCATAACACAATAATTAAATTCTTAAATAATATACATTGCTTGGTGTTAAGAGAAACAAAAAGTACTACTTATTTATCATTGATGTACTTGGGTTTATTGAAAAAATTTTTTAAACTTTTGAAATCCTAAAACCTGCTTTTATATATATACAGAGTGGTACAGATATAATTAACAACTCTAATAACTTTTGATCCAATTATTATTTCACTGTATTTTTTTTTTTTACAATTTTTACATTTTTAGACTACGTTCAAAGCATATTTTATTATTTATTTTTAGTAATGAAAAATAAAATTTCATCAAAATTTCAGAGAAGCCGTTTTTTATAGCTATTCTTGCAAAATTGTTAATAAGTCAATAATAATTTTAAAATGAGTAAACTAAGGACAGTAGGAACATAACATAAAGTAGATCAAGTACTATTATACAAATCCTATGTATTGAGTGTTTAATAGTATTGATCGGATTTCTATACATAGAAATTTCGACTTTCATACTTTTCTAAACTAAGTCTCCCCTCAATGTATCAATTTTTTTAGACAAGATAGCATTCATTTTATTATGACGTATTTTTATTTAAAAATGCCTATTTACTTGTGTTGACGAGATAAGTTCTAACAATAATTGTGAAATATAAAAAAAACATTTAATGCATACAAAATTTAAAAGTATAATTAATAGAATAAATACTATTAAAAACTATTCAAAATGCATTTTTCTAAAAGACCTTAAATATATTTGTAATATTTTATAAATTATAAATTCTATACATATATATATGTGTAGTAGTATAAAGTTAAAGATAATTAAAATTTGTACTTTTAGGAAATAGTTTTACATGGAATAATAGATGAAGACGATCTCAAAATTGCGTTGAAATATACATGTGATTACAGGCGTTATAAGTCAACTAAGGGTGTTGACAATAATAAACATCCTTGTTTTTATTATTCGTTTGCGGATTTAAAAGACTCCATAAGGAAATATAATACGATAGAAAATTATTTATATGTTCTTGTATTGACAAAATTAATCAACCCATTAAAAACTCAATGTGATTATTACATTAAGTACTATGCTAAAATTCAAATATAAACTTATAATTATTTTTATATCATGCTAAGTTATTTAAAAGTATTTTTAACAATGACAATTTTTCAATTTGATCAATGTATATTATATACTATATTTATATTTAAAGTAACTATCAATTAAGCTTTACTTACATGCTTGTATTGAGGTTAATTTATAAATAAAATTTTTTTTCTCATTTTCCATTTTTGTACAACTTAAGACTAAATCTAAAATTACATAAATTATTTTTAATTACCATGTAAAATAAAAAAACTTATTAAATCATGATTTTCATTGAAATTTTTTTTAATTAAATAAAACATTTAAAGATTATTAAAAATACAATAAAAAATTTTTATAAGGAAAAAATTATTTAAACAATAGCTATTGTAAAAATATACATACATAAATACAGTGAAAAGAATAATTTTTAATATGAAATATTTAATATAATTTACAAATTATTTACAGAAACGAAAAAAAATACTAATATTTAGATTTTCTGTAAAATGATGGCCTATTATAGATTTCAGATGACTCATAAGTCTCTTCGGATAATTTTGGTTTTGCTGGAGCGAATGGGTTCTTTTCTGGGTCAGCATTTAAACTAAAATATAACAAAGTTAATCAAAATAGTTATACTTATTTTTTAACAAAACAAAGTAGAAACTTATAATTATAAATTTTATCTTAAAAATTAAAAAAAAAACAATTTATAGATAATAAAAATATCGTTATTAAATTCTTTTACTCTTTTTGAATACTAGAAAGAAAAAGGTTCAACTTATAATATTTTATTTTCAATCGAAATATTTTCTTTGCTAAATTTTCTAATTTGGAGTTGTTTACAAAAACTACTTGAAAACACTTAAAATACTCGGTAAATAATTCTTTAAAAAATATATTTTTATACGTAGTAAATTCTATAATTTATAAAACAAATTAACTGATAATATAATTTCGTTGAAAGATTAGTAAAAATAAATTTCGTATTATGGTTTTCTTTATTACATAAATAGTTAATGATTTATTTTGCGCAATATTAATTATAACCGGTAATTATTCGTGAAATCTTACTTATAATAAGCACTAGCTTGACTGCAATCTACATTGTACCACCAATCACATGTGAATTTCTCTTGATTAAATAAAGTGCCATTTGTACATAAAAATGATGCTCCTTGGTGTCCTTCTCTACCATCATGACAGATGTGATATGCCTAGTTATAACAAAATGAATCATTAGAATTTATATATTTTGGGCACATAGTAATAAAGACAGGCAATTACTATAAATTTTAAATGCATAATTTAGTATTAACATTTATCTCAAGACAAAGCATATTTGTTTTGTATATTTTGCTTTATATTTTAAAAAGTAATGGAATCATATTTTTATAATTGCACCTTAAGTATACAACTTTTAAATTTTCGCTTAAGTGCAAGTGTAAGTAAATTTATAAGTACATACTTGGCATCCGGTTTCTACGTTGGCATACATGCCTGGCGCGTATGGTACATTTTTACAGTTGAAACTAGTTTCAGGTACAGCATGGTAAATGGGGTAATCTATTCCTGGATTTCCTGGAATTTTACTAAAATCTTGGTACGTTTCAGTTTCATGTGGTTTTTTTGCATATTCACTTGAATAATAACCATTGTATGTTTGTCTCTATAATATTACAAATATCACTTTTTATTTAATAGAAATTGTTTTACCATCAGCTTATTGGAAAAGTTTATATAGGTATAGGTGTTCAGTAAGTGAGGAAACGGGTTTATATTGTTCTCATTTTTTGTAACAATTAACCTATTTCTTTAATTTTTGAACACTCTGTATAATGATTGCTATAATGACAGCTATCATTATCACAGAACTCTGAGCCGTATTGCACAGAATTCTAAATTAATGGATTTTTAAAAAATTGTAATTTATTATTAAATTATGTTTTTAATTTTTAATATTATAAGTAAGTAACACATCGGATTTTCCCCAAAAAATTAATTAATATTTATACAATCAGTTTATTTATTTTTAATTTTGTTCATAAAAATATTAAATTTAAAAGAAAATCCGAGTAAGTAAAATTTTAATTGGACTTTTTCTATAAAATATTGAAATATTTTAATAAAAGTTTTATTACTATTAAAAAAGTTATATTTAAGTAAATTTAATGATATTAATGTTAACTCTAGAGATTATTTTTGAAAAGGTTTGCGTGAAGTAAATTTCACCGATTTAAGTACATTTAATGAGTAAAAAAGTCTACCGTTCTATAGATCTTGACTATAAATGACTTTGATGAACATTTGGGAGGTTAGAAGGTATCATCAAACCCTTCCAATAAATTCGGCATTGTTTGTATTTAAATAAACATGAGAAAGTTTAGTTTAAAAAAATGCAATTTAATAATATTTGTTCTTTATTGTAAATGTTATAGCTCAAACTAGAATTTATTTTTATTATGTCAACAATTAAGTGCTATAATTTTGATATATTATTTCTCAAGGTTTATATCTTGAGTACATTTATAATGGTTATTAAAAATATCATTATTATTTATCATTTTTTTTACATATGACGTAATTCAAATATTAAATAGATCCAAGGCTACACTTTCATATTTTTAATTTTAAAATAACATATGAATATGAATATGAATTTTAAAAAAAATAAAAATAATTAAATAATTTAGGTGTTAGTTTATGTAGGAAAAATTTTTTGGATATTATATAGTCCATAATATACAGGTGAAACAGTATAACTGTTTAACTTTGTTAAAATTATATTTTTTATTATTAGTTTTCAATAATAAAAACAAAAAATAATTTTTTTTAATTTTTAATTTGAAATAGTTTTGAGCACTTTTTTACAAAAATATTTGATGGGTCATAATAAATAATTTATTTTATTTTTTATTACTAAAAATAAATAATAAAATATGCTTCTAACGTAATCCATAAGTACAAAAATTGTGAAAAAGAAAAATTATAGCGATATAATTATTGGATCAAAAGTTAGGTTGATCTGTTCCACGCTTTATAAAAAAATATGTAACTGCCATACTAGTGGATTCACTGCTCGTATAGTTCCCCCAGAATGGCAAAAGAAAACTTTAATTCTCACATTGACTGTGTTAAATTATACTTTAGGTCAGAAACAAAAAATAAAAATATCACTATTTTTTTTTGTAATAGACATCCTTCATTGAAAAATTTTGGAAACACCACTATACTAGAGTAAATAAAAATAAGGGGCTACAAGAAGTCTTATTAGCGTTAGTCTTATCTTTTTCAATAATCTTCATTTTTTGATGACTCCGTTATAGGTCAGTATACTGACCTATTATAGAAATCCATTATAATAACATTTAAAATTCAAAGATGTCCGCTTCTTGTTAATATCCTGTATAACTTTTGCCATAATACTTTCAATTCATCGGTATAATAATATAATTTTTAAAGTTATTTTCTAATAAAATAGAAAACCTAGATACTCGGCTCGGGGTTGTATTTAGGAAGGTTACCATTAAAGATGTCCTCCCTTGAATTATTTAAATACAAAGACTTAATTTTCAAACACATAACTTACAATATTTTCTTAACGAGCAAATTTAATTAATTTTTTTCACTCACAATTTATAGATTTATTTTTGTTTAACTATAATGCGTATACTCTAATAGGTTATTTTTGTATAAAATAAAGTAATTAATTAGTTACCTGGTTTCTTGAGTCACCTTCAATTAAAGAATCTGCTACCACTATAAGTATCACTGCTAACGTTTTAAACAACATTTTAATAACTTACCCCTACACAGTGTTCAAAATACGTGTAATCAAGTAAATCGCCAAGATATGACTGGACATTCGTAATGATTGTAAAGAAATGTTTAGTTTAAAACGCAGAAAACAAGTTTCGGCGAATATGCGGTAAGATCTTACGACATCCGTGTAGAATGAATGGGAGTACTATATTTGCTTATCGGGTCGTCATTTAGAAAGGATTAGCCACCGAGAAGTACAAATACGCCCACATGATCATTTGTGAACGGCTTAGAGCATTTATTACATAGATTTTATAATCCATTTTCTTTTATTTTGAATTATTTCACCAATAAATACTTAATAAGATAAGTAATTAATATGGCACATGTATATCTATAAATTTAATGTTATTATTAAAAACCATGGTTGTTACTTACTCTATCAAATCTTAAATAATATCTCTAATAAAAAAGCACATATATTTGTAATAGTAGCGTGATTATGATTATTTTCTGGGAGTGCATACTAGAAAATTTTTTTATTACCCCCTACTAAAAAGTTGTGTTAGTATCAAGAGTTTTTTTTTATTTTATTCTCTTATCTGCCTTTAATATAGCTCCTGATTTCCTTTAAGTTGCAATTAAGTACAAAGTATAAATCTCTACCTATGGTGTAATATGATTCACGTTCAATTATAATAACCTTCAAGTGTTTAGTAGTCCATTGTATGATCTACTTTCACTATAATCAATCTTAAAAATATCTTGGAAGTAATGCTCTTTAAATATTAGGTAATTCTGAAACACGAATTTACAGTTAGCTCAGCTCAAAAAGGAATTCTTAATATTATTTCCTATATTTTTTATAGGTAAATTTGAAAAATGCCATTTTTACACTGTCGTAAATTTGAAATATGTTTCTAAATTTTAAAAACAAGGGGGTTATTCCAATTTTTAGTAACGATAGGTTCTATTAGATTAAAATTGGGTTCTTTTGAGGTATTAACTATAAAAATTTGTCTAGCGAGAACTGAGAATTTTCATTGACAGACATAAAAAAAAAAAGGTACGTCATACTATTAAGTATGCTTTTAAAAATATAATTTTGTTTTAAAGTTCTCCATTTTATATTTTATATTTTTAACTTTATATTGCTATAGCTTTTTGAAAAATATATGAATCAAATCAATTTTTTAATTGTATAATATACTACAATTAAAAAAAAAATTTAATACCCTGTTTTTATTTGTAAACGGCCACTGAAGATAATAAAAAAATGTTATTTTTGTGTAAAAAAATCACTATTATCGTGTTAACATAATTTCCTATTTCAATTTTTTTCAATTATTTATGGCTTTAATTTAGATTAAACAGTATAGTCATATAATAGGGACAAGTAAGTACCTAAGCTCACAATTTAAAAAAAAAAATTAAATAAGTTTTAAGAGTTAGTTTTAATTATTTTCAGGGAGGATTTTCGTAGTTTTATTTTTTATAAATCCATACTTATAATTTTTCTACAAGTTGACTATATACGTAACGAAATGTACAACTATTTTATAATTTCCATAATTTCTTTCTGAAAATTATAATATAAAACATTGAATATTTGTCCATATTAAATTAAATTTCTATAATATGTATTTATTCGTGTATTATACTTATAAATCAATAACTAGTAAACGAGATATAATTAAGAAAATAGAAGATGATGTTTATTTTGGAATAATCCAACAAATCCTTCTAAAAATTCAATACTATCTACAGATAGTATATATATATATAAAGATTTACATAGAAATATTTTTTGTGATAGTGATTTTAGTCACTGTCAGATATCATTTATCTCGGGAGTGGTGTGTCCAATGATAGTATGCTGAACATCGATCCCTAAGTGAAGATATCATTTATTGCTTGTCCCAAATGTTTCGTGAACGCACCGTGCAGTTTTTTTTTTTTTTTTTTTATAAACAAACTCGTTTTTTACTTATTAGTAATTATCTCAAAAAACTGGAAGTAATATAAAATATGTAAATGCAGATTTCAAATTTGAACAAAAAAATTTTTTTTAGAAAAGTACTTTATTTTCTAATGATTAAAAAAAGTATCATTTTGTTGATCAGTGTAATGTAATCTGATTTTGGAAAAACTAGTATGTAATTACATAAAATACTTTTATAAAATCATTAAATTTTTTTCTGTATGTTTACACTAGTATGTGTTTAATATGTGATTTCATTAACAATACATTGTGTAGTGTATATAGTATACAAGGATTTGTTAATGTTAAATTATGCACCTGCTAAAAACCTATTTACCTATTACACAAAGATTGGTTACCTTATAATGATGAAATTTTAATCGTTTTTTATTCTCATTTTATTTTTAGCGTGACAAATTGTTTTGATACATTGCTATTATTATATAATAATCATATATAGTAGTACTCCAAAATATCAATTTAATTGCAGTTAGTATATAACAATTTTGTGAATAATAAATATAATAGTTGGGACCGAATTAAGCTGTTCGTAGACCTTAGGTTTAATGTAATACAAAAAATTCGATAAATATTTACCCAAGTATTATGATTATTCTCTAGTTATTCATCTAAATGTTTTATTAATTGACATCAATAAAATAATAAAAGGTTTACCATATTATTGCATAGCAAACTAGTAAATTTTTTAATGGATCCCCAGTTCATTCGCCTCATTAATTCGGTGATAGTTATCAAGAAAGTAAACATTTTCAGACATTCTCTCAGGGAGGTAATATTAATGCAAGTAGATTAGAAACCAGTTCAATTCTATAACCTTCTTTCAACCAAAAATTCATGTTGATGATTCTTTGTTAAATCCTAAAATATAACGTTATCAGCCAGTTGGATAGAGATGAATGCACCTAGGCCCTCACTCATTTTTGAAATCTTTTTTTTTACTTGCTAAACTATTAATAAAATCGTCTTAGACGCCACCCCAACGTTCTTGGCGGTTTGGTCGGTCTAACTGAGTTAGAAACATCGAAAGAAATAATTTCTAATAAAAATAAAAAAAGGGTAGTTATTATTGAATTATCAAGAAAAAACGGATTTTTCAAAATTCGCGTATTAATACAAATAATTATTAGATTTCATATTATTGTTATTTGTTCTGTTTACATAATTTGTGCACTAAATAAGAGGGGAAAACGTGAATAGCTCGATAATATGGAATCAAACCTGTAGTCTACGCACCCAGGCACGATATGTTCCCTTACGAGGTTCACAAGTTCAATGTTTTTTTGAGATATGCTGAAATTAGACGTAATATTTAGTCATTTTTATTTTATTCGGATCCTTGTCAACCGAAACAAAAATAGTTTACGAATATATGAACTTTATAATTCAAAATTCTATTCAATTAATTATAAAAATAATATAAATAACAACATTATTTAAATTATATTCTTAACAAAAATCTAACTGTTCTAATTTTCTCTCTCCCAAAAAAGTTCGCCTTTTAAATAGTGACATCTACATTGTATGTATTTCTTTAATTATATCCTGATTAGTAGTTCTTTGATTTTAAAATATAATATATGAATAAATACTAATTATAGTTTTTAAATTGAGCAGAGAATTAGTGTAGCAGAGATGAGAATGTTTAGTTGGATTACTGGAGTGACTGGAAAAGATAGGATAAGGAACGAGCATAAAAGAGGAAGTATAGGTGTTGCGTCAATCGTGGATAAGATGGCAGAAAATAGACTTAGATTGTTTAGTCATGTTATGAAGAGAGAAGAATGGGAAGCTGTAAGAACAGTTATAGAAATAAATTTTGAAGCAAGAAGAGGTAGAGGAAGACCAAAAAGGAGATTGAGGGATGTTATTGAATGCTACACGAGGACAGCTGATGTGAGCGTAGAAGATGTGGGAGATCGTGTCAAGTGGAAGCTTAGGATAAGGGTGGCCGATCCCAAGTAGTTGGGATTAAGGCAAAGAAAAAGAAAATTCCGGTGGCAATTGACATAATATGATTGTTGTTTGGGAATTTAGCGTTTAGTTGGGTTTAAACATTATAGCATCAAATCAATTACCTACTTTATCGCTTGTATATTAATATACACTACACTTCTATGATACAATAAATAAATAAACTCACACATACACACATATGCATTTATAACATTGTGTCTAACGTAAGTATAACATGATAAAAAGTAACCGTAAAATGAAGAAAATGGAATATAAATTTTAGTACTCATATTAAATGTAATGTAACTCGAAAAATATTTGTTTAAATGAAAAAGTATAAGACAATTTTTTTGTTTAGAATTGTCTTTTAAACAACTTTTGTACAAAACTTTTTTTTGTAAGTTATATATTTTTGAGAAAATTAAAAAAGCTCATATTTTTGAACTTTTGCGAAGCTGTAAAAAAAAAAAGCTTAATTCCAATCAATTAGGACTATTAGTATGTCATTATACATATTTTAATTGAACTTTTAAAAAAACAAAATTTGGTTGGGAATTTTTTCCGCAATTTTTCCTTTGTTGACTGGCCTAGATGTCAATTTTAAACTTGTAATTGAGCTAAAAGTTAAGGTAAATTATTCAATTTTTTTTTACTATAACTAAAAAAAAAAAAAAGTTATTATTTTGAAACCCTCTTGTGGGCAGGTAAAAGATTAGATTTATAAAAAAAAAAAACCAAATGATAGATAAAGACATGCATCTATATAAATAATAATTTGTACTGATTTGGTCATTTTTGATAAAGTTTAACAGTTAACAAAGTTATAAGTTTTATGCACTGGACTACAAGAAACTTTCATCAGAAACAAAAATATACTATTCTTAATCAACTTTTCGCGATGTTTTCAAATGTGCAATTAGACTTTTTCTATCACTTCTAAGTTTTAATATTATTAAAAAATAGTATTTACATATAAAAAAAAAAAATTAAGAACAAAAAAAAATTGTTTTTAATTAATACTAATTTTGATTATTAATATGTTAAAAATAAGAAAAATGACATATTTAACCTATTTTTTTAATCGTTTAAAGTTGATTTTTGTAAATATTTATAAAAAAAAAATAATTTATTTTACCATAACTTTTAGCCAATGGGCAAGTTTGAAATTAACATCATTAAATAGAAAATTTTATGAGAATTAAAAAAATTGTATCGTTAAGATTAATATGCAGTCAGAAAGTTTTATAATTACTATTTATTGTAAATTTATCAGAAAAGCTCAATATTTTTTTGCATTGTTATGGTAATAGATAACTTAAATAGAAATAATAGTAATAAAATCCTAGTAACTTTTGGCGTTTGAAAAGATTCTGCGATTGAATATTCAGAACTTAATTAATTTTAATGATTTACTTTAACTAAATGAACCAATCAAAACAAAGTTGTTAAAAAGATTTACTCAATTGAGCGTATAATAAAATTTGATTATAATTGTAAAAATCCATTATTAATTCAGGAGAAACTAATAATCATTTTTTTAAGAAATAATTTATATGGCAACATGTTACCAAAAAATTTGTAATATTATAGTCTAGTAGTAGCACACACAAATAGAGTAAAAATATTATTAAATTATAAAGTAAAATGATTTAATTTTGTAGTTGAAACCTATCATATCAAACTTGATTCGTCAATTAATACTTTCAAAATATTAGAAATGAATGATTTTAATTGTCTGTATGTAGAACATGGGATAAGTAACTGTTTAATTGATAAATTAGAATTTTTTTTTCAATTTTTGATAGTAATATCTTCAACTAGATACGAATTGTAGTCATTTGACGTATTGTTGAAAAAAGTAGGTGAAGTTAGAGCAGAGAAAATAGATGATAGTCACAAAAAAATATCTTCTCAACTTTGCATCGAAACTAAAACTTAAAATATAGTAAAATAATTTTAATATGAATAAAAAATTTCTACTCGCGAGTGGCGACAACAGTGATGGGATCCTTGATCTTTATTGAAGTTATTGAATCTAAATGAGATAAAAATCAAAGCAGTTGAAAATTTATTCTAACTTAAAAAGAATTAAGAAAAAATGCAAATAACTTATTGCCTTATGTGGGTTGAACCTTGTACCCCAAGCTCGTATAACCCAAGTTTAACCGACTCGGCAACCGTACATCGCTAACGGCAATTGAAAAAATTAGCTATTTAATCTAGTTCAAATTTCAAAATTATTATCACAACTTAAAAAAAGCAAAAAACATTAATTAAGTTTAACGTTCTATGCTATATCAATTTGATTAATATAATATTTATGAAAATCAGTGTACTCCCATTGTCAGGTTTTTTAAATTAAAATAAAATACAAAACCCAGAATTTTAACACAAAAATATCATATTTTTGAATACGGTAGTCATTTTCACCATGAAGACAAATCCAGAGGTCAATTTTTTTTTTTCAAATTAAAGTATATTACATTAGCTTTAATTTAAGGTATATATAAAAGTGTCAGTCTTTCCGGAACATTTTCAAAAGTTAAGTTGAAAAAGTTAATTTTGTGTAAAAAGTTATCATTTTGAAACCCTTCCTGTGGGCTGTTAAAGAGTCAAATGTTCACAAAAATATATAAAATCATAGGTAAATATCTAAAGTATCTAAAAAAAATATATATAATCTTTCGGTTATTTTTAAAAAAGTTATGGCAATTTTAAGTAAAAAAAATTGAAAATATGTCAACAATTAGTAATTTTTAAATTTGTAATTTTGGGGGGATTTCCCCCGTTTACGGAGAACGAGGGAATTTTTTTCAATTTTTGAGGTTAATGTCTTTGACTAGATACGATTTGTGATCTTTTGACGTATTGTTCATCAAAATCGATCCAGTGAGAGCTGAGATTGAGCGTTCAGACACAAAAAAAAAAATTTTAAAAAAAAATTAAAAAAAAAAATACATTCTAGTAAAATTAATACCTTCACAGCTTCGCATCGAAGCTAAAAAAACGGTCCTAATCCTGTCATTCATAAAATATAAAAATAAATAAAAATAAATTTTCTTTATTTTTTAATTAAAAAAAATTTATAACTTAAAATATTATAATAAACGGTTATAAAAATTAACTTAGCAAAAAATCAAGGACAGGGCCACTGTCCCCCTGCTCTTCTCCTAAGATCCTTTATGTTTAGTTAAATTATATTTATTATTCTTTTAATATTACATGTATGCGATAATGTTTTCTTAAAATCTGATTTAATTTTTCTTCGATTTTTTTATCACTCCTTAATCAATAAAGGTTGTTAAACAAAACACGTGCTATGTTAATAATTAGATAACAGTTAACATGATAACAGTTATTTCCTTAAAATTTGTATGGATCTAATGTTGTTGTGTTTCGTTACCATCTATTCAGAATATTACCTGTAAAATTGTATTTTATCTTAATATATAAAACAAAATAAAGAACTATCACATTTAAAATGATTTTAAATATTTTAGCAGTTGAGTAATTATATATTGAAAAAATATTTTTGTAAGTATCTGAAGTAGAACTTTTGTTTGTTTTCATTTATTATTCAAAATAGTTTATTTTAAATAATTAAGATACTTTAAAATAATCATAAATTTATTTAATTTAATAGTATTTTTTATTATTTCTTCTGGTATACGAAAAAGTAATGTATTTAATAAGGAATTTAAGAATAAAGTAAAAATATTCACCTTTTAGATAAATACTTATGAGCATCTTAAAATTAATAAATTAGCAATGATGGAAAAAACTAAAAGATCATTTGAAGAGGAAAATGAAAAACTAGAAAAGTCGTTGCCACAAAAGAAATACTATAGACAAAGAGCTCATTCAAATCCAATAGCTGATCATGATTTTGATTAGTAATTATGCATTTTGGTGACTATTTTTTCTAACTTATAGTGATAAATTGTATATATTCTAGTCCTAATTGTCCAGATGCTTATGATTGGTCAAAACTTTATCCAGGAATAATTGATCAAAATTCAGTAATTCACAGTAATAAAGTAGAAATGTTGGATATAGGATGTGGATATGGTGGTCTTTTAGGTAAACACAAATCATACATTTTTTATTCATTTAATTTAATTTTTTTAATTGATGTTAAATTTTTCATTAGTTACACTATCACCAATGTTTCCAAGTAGTTTAATCCTTGGTATGGAAATACGAGTTAAAGTATCACAATATGTCATTGAAAGAATCAAAGCACTTAGAGCTAACAAACCAGGTTCTTATGATAACATTGCTTGCATACGTACAAATGCTATAAAATATTTGCCCAACTTTTTTAAAAAAGGTCAAGTAAGTAGAATTAAAATTAAATATTAGAAAAATTATTATGAGCATAACATTTTTTTGATTATTATTATATAATTATATGATATTATTTTAGATAAAGAAAATGTTTTTTCTCTATCCAGATCCTCATTTTAAAAAGTCTAAACATAAATGGAGAATTATCAATGATACTACTCTATCTGAGTATGCATATGTACTTGCAGAAGGTGTATGTAATATTTAGTTATTGATTTATTTTCAAAATAAAGAAATTAAAATACTATTGTTAATATCAAGTATATTATTTATTTTATTTTAGGCAATGGTATACACTGTAACAGATGTAAAAGATTTGCATGATTGGATGACTAAACATTTTTGTGAACATGGGCTTTTTGAATCAGTAAACGAATCATATCTGGTAGTTTAATGTTGTTTTTATAATAGAAGATAATAAATTTTTATATACATTTTTGGTTTTTAATTTAGAAAGATGATCCTGTTGTAGAAAAACTTTTTGAAAGTTCTGAAGAAGGTAAAAAAGTTACAAGAAATCAGGGGGATAAATTTTTGGCTGTGTTTAAAAGGCTTAAAAATCAAGATATTAAGTGAAGATTTTGTAACAACTAAAAAGTTTTTTTTGATGAAAATAAATGATAAAATGAATTATTTATTTTGTAACTGATAAAATTGCAATACTTTTTAAATTGATAAATGAATAACTCTTAATTTTACCAAACTTTAGATTTTAATAATAATAATATTAATATTTCCTTTTTATACTTATTTTGTATCATTAAACAATTAACATTATTTATTTAGGATAAATTTGTTAAAAAGTTTATATGAATTATCTAGAAAATTTTATATTATTAATTATTAGTTTTGTAGATTGAGTCAAAATTTGGTTGTTTATTTTGGTTATGACAAAATTTTTTAACTTTTATTTAAGTTTTCATGAGGTTGTGTATAATAGTTGCTATATAGCAACTAAAATGGTTATATATCACCTAGAAGAATAAATTTATATGAAATATAAATCATATCAAAAACAACAATGGTAATTTTCTAAGTTTTATATTTTGTTTATAATCATATGGTAAAATACATACATTTAAGTGGTTACATTATTTAGGAACATATTTAACAAGAAAATTAATTTGAAATTGCTCTACAATTCATTTTAAATTTTTAAAGTAGCTATATAATATAACATTTATAAATTTAATTTGATACACTAAAAGTTAATGAAATTATAAGATTTAACCTTAAATTATATTAATGATAAAATTAGTTACTTTCTATATATATAAATTCACTCAATCTTTACATATAATGGTAATTTATAATAATTAACATTAATGAATTATAGTTAAATATACTTAAATACATATAGCCTTTCACAAATAATTAGAATTAGAAAAACCAGTAAATTTAACTTGCAATCTTATTTTATCACAGAAAGAAATACAAACTTTAGGTTAATAATTATAGTAACATTTAAATGAAAAACATAAAGTGACTGAAACTTATTGATTTGATTTATTACTTACAATAGTTACCATAACAATAATTTACTTGGTTGTTTAACCAAGGTTAGGTATTACAATAATAATACATGCATAAACTCAATAACATGGAGCAGCTATGTGCAAAATTACAATCATAATAAACAGTATGGATATTTTGTAACAATTATGAGTAATTTAATAATGTAGGATATTTGATAGAATTAGAAGTAAATTGACAATTTATTTAATAATATTTCAAAATTATACACATTATATTATACCACAAGCTTTAATATATTATTATTTTAATTGTTTTATTATGATTCAGGTCATAAAATAATATTCAGTAATACCAAAAATAAAAAATAATTATTTTAAATTTAATTGAATGCAAATTGAAAATTATTTTTTATATGAAGCTATATTTCATTGAATAATAATATATATCAAAATCAAATAAAAAGAAATTATTCATTTAAATAATTTTAACAGCAATATCAAATCACCTTAAGAATTATGTCTCATTTTTTTTACATAATGCAAATAAATAGAGATGGTGTAGTCGCAATTATTTTACAATATTAAATAGTAACTAAGAAGATTTTAAATCTATCAACAATTTGATATAAATAAATTTTATAATATAGAACTAATTAAGGTAATATTTGTATTGAAAACTTATTCTTTTTAACATTTTATGTAACATCTTTTTATTGTTGTCCAATCAATTGTATACCTAATCATAAATAATTATTAAAAAATCTTAAATCTAGTAAATTATTCACACAAAATTTACAAATAAATTTAAGTGTAGGGACTTTTTAAATTAATATATGGAGTTAACTTTTTTAAATTTTAATATAAGTAAAGTATTATACAATAATAATTTAAAAAAAATATTATTTTACTTTTTATAATCAGTGAAATTACTAAAAATTGTAATTATTCATTAAGTACCCTTTACAAAAAAACTATTAATGAACAATTAGAATTTACATCTACATATAATACATGTATTATTTCAACTAATATAATGATAACAATGTTTTGTATCTACATTTTTAACATTTTTTAGTAGACACAAATATAATAATATATTCATCACAATTTTTTTATTTATAGCAGTTTCCATTAAGAAAATGTTAGATTTTATATATTTAAAGTATATTAAATAATAAAAAGTGGAAAGAACAATCAGATATACTCTAAAAGTCACAAAAATTCTAAACAACAGAAAAAACTACAAGGATATTAGAACTTTTTTTAATATTTAATAAACAATTATTGCTTCTAAAATAAAATTTATGATGTATTGCCTTTAAGGTAACATTAAATGAATTGTTTCATTTACTGAATTGTGGTAATAATATATGAGAGAATGTATTATCTAAAATATAACATGAAATTATTTTAAAATTGTATTATTGATTCTTTTTTAATATTCAATTTATTATTGAGTTATGAATTTAAAAATATTAGTTAAATAAAAATAAGTTAAGACTAGAATAATAATTTGAATTCATTAATAATTAAGTACTAACTTTGGTATATACCTTAAATTAATATAACATTTATTCACATTTTTTATGGACAAAAAAGAAAATTATTCAACATCAAATAATAAGATATCATTAAATTCAGGTTGAGAACTCAAAAGTAATATCTGTTATTATACTAATTATGCAGCTTAATTTTGATATATTTGTAGATAATTAAATTTTTTAGGATTTTATAGCAAATAAAAAATATTAGAAACTATAAATATTTTAAACAATTTAATGTGATGAAATTGGAATAATTGAATACCTAAAAAATTACAAATTGTCTATAGAAAAAGAAATTACCAGCTAAATTAAGAGCTTAAAATTTAAGTCTAACTTAAAAATAAAACTCAAATTCAAAATTCAAATAAAATACTTATAAAGTAAAATGTAATAAATGTAAATAATAAGATATCTCAAGGTTGCTCATTCTTAATAGTAAAAAAAAAATTAAAAACTTATCTATCAAAAACAAATTTGGTTAATGCTCTTTAAATATTTTTTTCAGATTCTTTATATTCAAGATTTTTCATCATCAGAAATTGAATCTTCTTTAACACTAGTTTCCTTCAGCCAGTTTTCCCTGGAAGTATCTTTTTTGTGACTAATGTGGGATCTAAATAAGATTAAATGTGTTGTAATACTGTAAATAAAATAAAGGTATCTAGAATACAAATTTGTAATAAACCTTCTTAAACGTCCATCTCCAGGTAATGTCATGGAAGAGCGTGGTTCAATTTCATCAACAGAATGTTCATGTAATACTTGAGGTCTTCTCTCTAATGTCATAGTTTCTGGTTCTGGAAAATTGTCATCATATCCTTCAGCAAGTTCTTGATCATGTTTGCAATTTTGACATTCTTCACGAAAATCATTATTAGAACTTGAAGTTCCTACTACTACATTTTCTGTAATTTCTTTATTATTTGTTTTACCTAAATTGTATTATTATAATGAAAAAAATTAGGTTTAAAAATAAGTAAAATTTAAATTACTGTTTTCTAATAAAGGTTGGTTAGCAGCAGTTTCAATTTCATTTAGTTGTTGTTCACTATATTCAATTTCTGTTAATGTTACAGGTAACGTTCTATGATGATTGGTCACTTCTTCTATGGGTTCATTAAAATTTGTAGGTATTTGATGAGGTAATGCTATAGCCTCATCATATGGCGGAGGAGCATCACCACGAGGATAATAAGTTTTCCATAAGGGTATATGAAGAGTAGCATGATCTCCATAATATAGATCAGAGCCAATTGGTCTAGGAAAGTTCATATAACCACTAATAAATCCAATACCTCTTACACCATCACCCATTTGAGGTGAGTTCGGATCACTAAACACTTCTCCATCTAAAAAAAAAATTGTTTGTATGATAATTTTAAATTTAGAAAATAATTTTGTTAAAAATATCAATTTTATTAATATATAAATTAAGTAAAATATAATCAACATAATTTTAAAAAATTAAAAAGTTTTTTTAAGATAAGAGAATGAACAATAATGATACAAACAAAATAATTGTAGTAAACAATTTTTAGTAATATACAAAACTCATACTTGACATTATGTTCCTTTTATGAAGTCGATTGATAAGAAATACAATCAATATGAAGAACAAAAAAGCAGTTACTGTACTGGCTATCGATCTAGCATTGATATTATCACCTTTATAATCCACATCATTGTCATTGAGCGAGTTATCCAAACAATTAAATTCACAGCAAGTACTTCCAACAGTAAAAGACTTACAGTCCTATAATAATTCAATTTTTTTAATTAAAATGAAATTGAAAATTAAGGCTCACAGAGTTGCCTAATGTATTTATAAAAGTACAATTTATTATTCAAATCTAATCAAATGAATAACACATTTCATTTTTACTTTATATGTTTCATTATAATTACTTAAAAAATTTTTTTATTAAAACAGTAACCTAATAATGGTACTTGATAAATTTATATACTATATGGTAAAGGAATAAAAAAAAAATTTAATGTTTTCCTTGTAATTAATGTAAACATTAATCATAGGATACAATCAATAATAATGAAAGCTTATTAACTATTATTATATATTAATAATATGTATATATAAACTGGTATTTTTAAGGTAAAATAAATCTTTAATAAAGATAAAATGAAAAATTTTATTTTAATTATTTATTAGTAATTAATATAATTGTATAATAAAATTACCACAACTAATCTTAATATAGTGAAAATTATTTATTAATATACTTACTTGTGGTGGGGAACAGAGTACAGCTTTACACCATTTAGCTACAGAATTATCACAGACACAAAGGGTACATGTATCAGGTCCTGGTACATAATGCATTCCTTGGCTAATAATTCGACCATAGTAATCTTGGCAATCAGCTTTAACATTGCCTACAATATAATTGATTAATTATAGATATCAAAAAGAAAACGGTTAAAAAAATGTTAAGTAAGTACTTGAAAATAGAATTATTGTAAGTAAAATGAAATAATTGATCATTATTGGAAAAATTTCTTTAAGTAATTATGATGACATTACTTATTATTATTACTGAAATACATATTGGTAAACACTAAGTTAAAGGCGTAACAAATATATTTTAGATTTTTAATCTAGCATAAGTAATACATTTTTAATTCATAATTTATTTTTCATTGATTCACAATTGTAAATAGTAAATATTTATCCTTTGAGTTATCATACCAATGATTTTTATTTGTTATCAAATTTGTTTTTCAAAACTAATTAACCTTGGTAGTGGTTAACGTTCTACCAGATATCTGTGAACATTTAAATTTTAACGCGGTATTACAAACAATAAAAATATCCTAATAATTCTTATTTGCTGCATTAGACGTATCAATCATTATCCATAATTTAAAAAAAAAATGTTTACTATTATTTATTAAAAATTTAAAGCAATCAACATGATCTATTATACAGTTTATAGCTATTTCTCCTCTAATCTACATATGACGTCATTGTGTTAAATGTGACATTTTATATTATATTTTATATTTTTTTCGGTAACGATTAAATATATCATATATTTTTATTATTATAAGATAAGTGTCAATAAAATATCTGTTTTTATTTTTAAAAATCTTTATTCTTAAACAAAAATGTATTATCTATACAATTCTTAAGAAAGAATACTTTTCATACTATATATATACATAATATACTAAATAATAGATTGGTAACTTGTTTGTTTATATAAAATAGTTATTCATTATTTTGTAAATAGATTTGTATATTGTTTTTTAGAGCATTATTAACACTTGGTACTATTTTTATTTGAATAATCTTAATAATAACCACTCTTGCTTCATTTACTGCACTTTAAAATAAAAGCTTTTCATAGTCAAATACTTAACTTATTCTTTGTAAAACGGGTTCTAATAATAAAATAGGTAAGTAAATTATTAATTTATTATTCCATTCATAATTGTTCCATTTCAATAAATCTTGAGATACAAAAAAAAAAAAATATGTTATCATAACACGTTCTAAAATTTTGTTTTATTTAAATTAAAAAAATATTCATTGGAACATTATGCAAATGTTATTAATTTCATTGAACTAGAATTTTCATCACTTATTTTTAATTTCAACTTTATAAATTATCTGAAATTTAATTTGGGATTTTGTTAACAATTACTGTTAATAAAAATATAATTATATTTATAATGATTTAAAATTTTGCGTTTTGATTAAGATAATGTTAAAAATTAAAATATAAATAGTTTTAATTGAAATAAACATTTATAATTAATATAAAAAATCTATAATTGGTGAAAACATAAATTACAAACTATACTTTATATTAATAATATATAATTTTAATTAGATACGTTGGTTTATTACATATTAATATAATGTCTGACTAGGATTTATGACCGATATATAATACAATAATCTCAGAAAATATTTTAAGAAAGCGTTCTCATTGACAAATAGAATTGTGTAATTCATTCAATATCTTATTTTTCTTCTGGAATGTCGTTTGGTAGTGAACAAATATAACGCAATTAGCTTCGATATCTAAATTTGGATTCAATATGCATTATTATGTTATTTATACTTGTATAGGTCAACGCTCACTTATAACCACGAACAGCGCTAACAACCCTACAAGTGTTAGCCATGTGTTTTAACACGTGGGACAAAAGAGAAATATGCTTAAAAAATTTATGTACGAGCCATATTATTATGTCTATGTGCACACAATATAATAAAATAGACTTTTAAAATCTATCAATAGTTGGCTTTCTACGTTTCATCTTTTCTTTTTCTCGTTTTGCCTTCTAAGTGGATAATATCGGTTATGTCATTCACGCAGTCGTCCACCGACGGCCTATTTTGTTCGAGGCTGTAGTCCATGTCCAATAACCTGGACAGGGTCAGTATGTAAGCGCTTGCTATTCTGATGGTGGATAATTTTGACAGTTTTTGATTTTTCGAGTATGATGGTATGGTAGCTCTAAGAGTATCGAAAGCAGCGCTGATCGTATGAACTCTGGACCGTTCTCGCGCGTTAGCCTCTATCCTTCGGGCTTTTGACATGTTTTTGCCGTGTTTAGTGGTTGGGTTCGCTGTAGTGGTAGCTGTCAGCAGGGTATTTGAATCGGTACTAGAAAGATTTGAAGTCGTACAAATATCTTTTGAGTTTTTAGTCACACGAGGTTCTTCAATTATAGGCCGTTCGGTTGCTGTGTTTTTGGTAAGGTCCAACGGTTGAGGTTCCAGTGGTTCTTTGCGTTGCGCCAATGATAGTATCCTGTCTACATTTTGTATGTCATGAAATAGTCTAAGACCAACGTCTGATGCTGACGCAGACTCGTTACTCCACGGCCTGAATGGTGGATATCCATGACTCTTGTCTGGAATACCAATAATGCAGTTCACCGACAAGACTGCATCTTGACGTTTGTCGGACGTCGGACAAAGTTTGTCTTCTATACGTTTCCGTTTGCGTGGTGGCACAGACACGTCTACTCCGGAGTCTTCGCTCAAATTTGTGGGTGTAGTTGTTTCCCGTTTGAACGTCAACAGTTCTGTTGGCGAGTAACATTGTCCATCAGAAGTCGCGTCGATGTCCTCCGGTTTTACATTATTATTATCTGTTAACATAAACATTAATAAAATTATTGGAATAAGATTTGTTTTTATCATTATCTGTATGTATATTGTATGCAGATGTAAAGTAAATGTATAACTGTTAAGTTTATTGAGATATTAGCATTTGACGATTTAAAGAAATTGAGGAACGGGGTAGTGTTTAGCGATGCTCTATTTTTGCCATGGCACACAAATAATAATTCTTATACGTTGCGCAACCCACTTGCCTATAACTAAAAAATATAACAACTCAAAAAGTTATAATACAATACCGGTTATCGGCCAATTAAAATTTAGACCATTCTCCATTTAATAGTAAACAAATAATAGGTTCCCATTTATCTTTCGAAAGTTACCATTGAATCTACTCTTAGGAATAATTTTTTATTGCAATAAACTTAACTAATAAAATAAATTAAACTATAGTCTATGAATTTTTATGAAAAAATAATTATTTAACGAAAAAATGGTACGAAGAATTTGGGGGTAAAATAGTTAAAAATAAATATATAAAATTTTAAAAATATATAAAAAATTGTATTATATTTTTATTTATTAGAAACAAATAATAAAAAAAATATTTTAACGTAGTCTAAAACTGAAAAAAAATATAAAAAAAAAAACAAGTAACGCAAAATATTTGCTGAATCAAAAATTATTAAATATGTAAAATCCTGATGGAACACTCTGTAAATAATTTATATCTTATTCTAAATAAACACGGATTAGAAATAAATTTTAAAATGTTTTCATTCATTTTATCTCATCGACAAAAGTGTTAATTTTTATCGCAATACTTTCTTTTTAAAAGTGTCCATTCCTATGTTTTCCATCATTGTAATTTTCTGCATGTATTAACCATTATTAACAAATAAGCTAGTTCAATTTTTATTTTATAATCCAAATAATTTACAATTATTTTATTTAAAATATTATGCATTAAGGTTAATGCATATTGTTAGTGCTTTTTTTTATGTCATTATTTTATTTGATAATATAAAAAACATTACAATAGGCAATTTCATCTCGGGTTATACATTTCTATTTGAGCGAATGGAGGACTGCTTTGTTTAAATATTAGGCCAATGTTGAACAATTAAGTCAATGTCTATGTTTCATCTAAATTTGTTTTTTTTTTTTAAACTTAAAGTCTACCTTTTTTTTTTATAGCAAACATATTAAAAAAAGAAGTGGATAGTTATTTTAGATTTATTTTATTACGATAATAATATATGAATTTTGTAATTAAAGTAAATTCTGTATGTAATTTTTGTTAACTTTAATGGGTAATTTTTTTTTAATATTTATATATTTTTCACTTACATAGATTAAATAACTCTTCGGAATTAGCTTTCATTGTAATAGTATCCTTGCAAATGTTTGCCAATCGGTTTTGTAAAGTTCCTTCTAAAGCTGTCCGTGAAGTCACCATTTTTAATTTACAAAATAATCCAACAATCGTTTTTTACTGTTAAAAAAAAAGTATAAACGGTATCAACACGAGCACTAACGCGGACTATTGTTTTAGTACGCTGATTTATCAAAAATTAATGTTTTTTATCTAATTCGAATCCGACAGCGACTGCACACGTTGTCTGTCAACTCACGACTGAGTTATCTGGTCTGTCTATGGTCAGTGTACGGTAGTAACTTCGGGTCTCTTCTGCCGCCGATTGTTGTTCACTTTAATCATGCGGTGACGTCCCCCACACATCCCACATGACATGAATGGTATGTAACGCATGTTCTTATTTTAATAATTCAATATTATTTATCAAGGTTCATTATTTTATTTGTTTAATTCAGTGTCTTGTTGTATCTGATTGTCATTGCAATACTGTATGCATTAATAATTTATGTACAACGAACGTTTTCGATAATATGCCTGTTTTATGACTATCATAAGTGTATAACTAAACCTTTGAGTTACAGAAAAAAGGCTGTAGTCTTTAGCAGTTTTAGGTAATTTTAGATACCTAAAATAGGATTTTTCTTCTCTAGTCGTTTATACGCAATTACATGAAACATTTAAAAGTTCAATAGTTAAACTCAGAAGCGCATTTTCGACAAAATATTTTTATTATACGTAACGCCTCTACCTAATTTTTATTTATATAATCGTATATGTAATTTTTCTGAAGTTTTAGCTTTTCCAAGCTAATTCAATTTGCGTCTATGATTACGCTCCTTGAAAAAACAATTGCGTGAATTTTTTCATACATTTACTAGAAGTTTTTAACGCATATAGCGTATAACATATTATGACAACGTAGTAATACAATTGTTATTGATTTTCGGTACTTTTATGTTAAAATGCTATTACTGATGATTAAATTAACGTGTATATTATTTTATATCATATTTTCATAAAGACAATTTTGGATCATTTCTTACAGTGTATGTAAACATTTATCCATCTATTTTAACTATAGCGAAATTATAATTTGATAGTGTTTCGGTCTCTGCCGCCAAGATGTTACAAACTTTTTTAATATTATAATATTGAGGAATATAAAAAAGAAAATAAGTGTTAACAGAACGTCGTTAACATTTCATTTTTGGTACGCATAGATATCGAATAGGCTACTTGTTTTTGAACAAATTATTATTAATGGCACAATCAGTTTTAGTGAACATTTTATTTTAGTCATCCTATAATGTGGAGGGCAAGAATTTTCAATTGTACTAATTTTATAAAAAACATTAACAATTATTAGCATTTTCTGTAGCATAGTTTGTTGTCAATGTAATTGAAACATTAACTTAATATATTTTCGTCTAAGGATATTTCTGCCAGTTTTACCCCATGACACCTTATTTATCCTAAATTATACTATTTGTAAAGTTTCTAAAACTAATTTTCATATCTGCTACAAATACTGTTTTTTATACGTATAAACACATTTTACAAGCCCATTTTAAAAGCATTGCATCTTTAACATTTAATATTTATATAAAAGAGGTGACCCTCTCTACACTCTTAAACATTTTTTTCGAATTTTCACATACATATAGTGGAAGTTTCTAGCGTATACAATGTAGTCAAATTTGTTGATAAATAGTAATGAAAACGTTATATTCGTATACATATAATTTATATGAAAATAACACTAGTCGTGTGTAAAATTATCATTTATATTAAAAATATCATACCGACGAATGGGAATTTTTAGATTGTTTTTTATAATGTATCCCTCAGATGTGGCTTCGTGTCACAAATGTTAATAGTCGGGTTTATTAACTGTGCCACCGTTTTATAGCACAATAAAAGTTGGTGTCTAGTTAAACTCTTAAAACTAGGATTTTTGAACCTATTATTTCCTTGAACTGTAAGAAAATGATTTTAGGCCAAAGAATTTCCTTCTAGTCTATCATTGACTGCATAACCCTATTTATCACGGGTGCGTTATTGCTAAAAGACTAATAAATGTTGTAATGATCGTATCGATAAAAAACGTCTCGCATGTGGCGACTTCCTCTTTGCCTAAAGAAAACAATACCGTTTTATTACTGAATCTACATGGAGTGTGGTAATAATTACTCTAATACGTCAAATACTAGTGAAGTATATCCGTTGCATCAATATTGTCCCACGCATGAAGTCTGGTTTGGGTAATTTGTTGAAAAAAAAACCGTTTATAATTGAAGCAAGACAGGAAGGGATACCCGTATGATATCATTTGTTGTAAAAAACGTAAAAGAGTTTGATTGCGTTCCGCAGCTGACATCTTCGTGTATCCAGGTGTGCGTAACGGTGCGTTGGGGTGGCACGTGCCCCTTTTGCTACACCTGGTAGCGCGTGCCGACACCGCTTCCTACACAAACTGGCGAACACATCCTTTTTATACGCGTTTATTGTATAGTCGATGTCTAATTGGTGACATCCTAGTTTACAATGTGTAATTACTATCAAACAGCCTTGACGCTACATCGTGTATGGGCTGCCACGAGCAGGGGATGCAAACGGAAACGCACTCCTATTCGCTTGTCTCTAAACGGCTGGGATACGGCGGTTTGGGTTCTAATCTTGAATCTCATCTCATGCTGCAGAAAGAGATATAATAATAACAGTATAATATGATAATTAACTCTGTATACGACATCAGCCTATAAAAGGGGATATGCCATCGACAGTTGCAGGTGCATCGACCATTTGGCATCAATGGCAGATGGATGCCAAAATTACAGGTGCATTTAATGAGTTTTTCGGTACAGACCGACCGGATAATTTTCATAAATCTATAAATACAAGCGCACCTTTACAAATTTTTCAGACGAGAAAAACGTTTCCCGATGTTTTTATTGAGTTGCGTTAAATTAAATTTATTACCAACATTTTTGCATAATTTCCATAGTCGACCGGTTCCGAAAAAGTCAGCGGGTGAAAGTCTGAAAGCTCGATGGAAACAGTGGGTATCGAAAGCCGGTTGTAGTTTTATTGGTTAGATAATTAATTGTTGACCAATTCATATAATTAAAATTATCATAATTTCATCGATGCATTTAAACGCCAGATATCTGAAGATTATTCGAGTGCACCTGATATTTTAATTCAAAATATTTTGTATCTAATTTTATTACACAAATTCAAAGCCCGATTAACTACGAAGATGCAATCTATACCTAAGTTTTCTTACACCTGCTGTTATGAGTTTTCACCGATGGTTTTCAAACGAATAAATTACAAGTGTTAACAGAAAATTAATGTGCCTGAATTTAGTCCGAAGTACTAATGTATTTAATTTACAACCCCGGAGCGTATCAAGTACATGTGAAATAAATTAATTTTTTCAAGTGGTCAACGTAGAAATGTCGATGGAAATTAAAGTGTGTATACATTGATTATATAATTGATTTTAACACACGTTAACTGTATTTACTATAATTCCACATTGTGATTTTGTCTCGTACACAAGTGTAAATATGACATTTTTAAAGAGTTCTCCTGAAAAGTTGATGACCCTGACGACTTAATCCTATTTTTATGACCGGATATTATAATTCTTAGATTAAAAAAATAATAATCCGAGCTATGTTAATAATAGATTTTATCCTCAAAATGGGTCATAAAAATTTATTTATAACTCATCTATATGATATTAATTAAGAAATAATTTATACATTGTAAATATTACGTTCGCATTGAGCGTTATGTTTACGGGAGTGCTCGTTACCAATTATAAGTTAAAATAATGATGAAATGGCGTTGTAATTAATTTATTACAATTTTGAATAATCACAGGGAAAAATTTTAACAAAACTCGTATAGTTTTCAAAACTATAAAAATATTGCCAGCCACGTGGATTTTTGTGTTGACTCAGTGCTGTTTTCATATGTGCCTTCATTTTGTTTATAAAACTCAACAAATAATGTTCAGTACACTAAAATTTGAGTGCTAAACTATACTAAAGACCAATAGTGGTATATTTAGATGTTATTTTAGAGAAGGGCGACGATTTAATTTTTCTTATTACAGTAATACGTTAGTAAATTTAATAAATTACAGTAATATACAATTGATGTTCTGCCTAAAACATACCCCAAAAAAGCTGAGCAAAAAAAAAAAAAAAATTAACTTACGTAGTTATAATAATTAAACTAAATTTTGAATTATTTTTGGAGTGGTAAATATCATTTTTATCTATATTTGACGGAGAGTTTTAAAGGTACTCACACTTTGGGGGCCACGGACTCCAATTTTAAAAGAAAATTAAATATTTTTTTATCTTCGATAGAAAATTTATGAAAAACAAAAATTAAACTTGATAAAACAATTAAAATTTTGTATTTTTATTAAATGGGAGCAAAAGTAAGTGAAAAATTTCACAATGGAATAACATCCCAGGTATCTGGGGAACACAATAAAATCATAAAAGCATTCGTAGTGTGTGTTAATATTTATTTTTATATCGTAATCATAAGAGACAGGTGAATCCATTGTCATTGACATAATTAGAATGCATTCCTTTTCATGTTAAGAAACTTACTCTTTGGGCTAGGCTGTAGCTCTTCATTAGCCGTAAAGCGTTTAAAAAAATACTGGCGGTGCAAATTAATTTTACCCATTCACTATAAACAATATTTTAATACAATAATAAATAAATAATCTAAATATATATACATTTTTGGGTTAGAAGCTGATTCTTCGACTTGGTAGTAAAGCCCATCTAATTGTACCTCGTAGGAATACAACTAGGTTGGTAACAAACGTGGAGTTTTTAGATTGTATTTTACATTTTCGGGTTCAATTTTTTGACTTTGGCTTGTAAAGAACCTCGAACGAATTTGTCCCGTATCCCAAGAAAGTCTAAATCCTGCACGGATTTCCATCATGTTTAAATGTTTTTATTAAAAACCAAAATAATCATAAAAGTAATATTGTAGTTTTTTTTCCAAATTTTACACGTGTGCCCATACGACAATAAATTATTTAACTGAAAAAAATTGAGAGATTTCATTTGAAGGTTGTTAAGTAAATTCTCACGGTTTGAATTTTGGTATTATTATTATATTACGAGTCTGAAGGGGTTAGGGCGTTTACGTTAGCGATAATTGCCGGGCGGAGTTAAGTGCCGTCGTCACGACTCGTCTTCATAATGCCCAGTAGCCGTAACCACTTTGATCAAGTTTTTTACCATAGCCTTAAGTATATGATAGTTATGG